TGGTTTGGTTATTACGGTATCGAGATATGTTGCATCCAAGGGACAACAAAACAATGTTATCCCAGTTGTGCTGATCTGTACTGGAAGCTGGTGTTCAATTAAACTACTGTATATTGCATAGGTGTCTTCTGCCTGCGAAGCTTTTATTGTATTTTTCCTCTTTTTTGAATAAAACAGTTCTACATTTTCTATATTGACAGCTGTTCATCTGCGGCTATTTCTTTTTTTTTTTTACTGTAGTCAGTTTTTATTTTCTCACTGTACACGTAATCCATATGTTCTCTTAAAGCATATGAACAGTTTGGAGGATATCTGTAGCACAGCTTACTAAAAAGGCTTCTATTAGAATCCATTGATTGCACACGTTTTAATATCAGCAGAGAAAAAGAATCCTCTGAAGATTTTTCTATACTTTCAGTTAGATTAGTATAATGTCATGGAAGCAAAGCCTATTACCAAAAAACTGTCCAAGTGAAAAGATATTATAATAGGTCGAGTAATTACTTTTATTCTTACAGCTATTGAGATCCATCTTTTGCTCTTGGGCACAATTTGTCATAATCACAAGCTCTTTGCCAGTAGCCTTCTAGAGAATGAGCATGTTGTTAGGGACTATAATTTTCACTTTACTGCTTTAAAACTGTGTTTTGAATGTAAAGATAGAATACTTTTTTTAAAATCAAAGTAAGTGTAGAAAGAAAAGAACCTAGAAAGAAAACTAAGACAGAAATCCAGTTATTGAATCTTTCAGTTCATCAAACTTTGTTGAAAGTAGATTTTCATACTCTAGGCAGGCTTACTCTTTTTAGATGGCATTCATTTAAAAAATGCAGAGACTTTTTCCTGGCATTCTGTATTTTTCTCCTATTCTTAAAAAAAATTATTCTTTTTGTTAGAGAAGAACTTTTTGTTCCCAGGGAATCAGTGATGACTAAGTCAGTCCAGGAGTCCTTTGTTAAAGCTAAGCAGAGGTTATCTTGTTTTGTTTAATAAAAGCAATGCTTGCTGTATATCTGCTTCAGTTGTTTATCAGCAGGATAACCAAAGCTATCAATTTTGGCTTTAGGCAACTCGCAAATGACTAGTCTGGGTCCTCATTTTCTTGTAGTATTTTTAGCATTAACTTGATGTGGTAGAACACCAAAACCAGTATCATTTACTGCAGCAGCGGCAGCTTATTTTAGTGAGGATTGTATCTTGCCTTAACTGTAAAAAAACTACTGCGATTTGGGTCTGAAAGCAGTTTCATTCTGCAAGTTACTCTGAGGAACTGGCCATTCTTTAAAGTGCGGAAAGATACTATCTGTTTCCTGAAGAACACAAACTGACAACACAAAGCTGGAGGATTTGCGTATGAGACTGGATAAGGAATTTTATAGCAGAAGCAGATCCGTTCCGGAGTGAAAAATGGTAGAAGTCTGAAGCATACACACACAAAAGGATGAAAAAATAGTCCAGGAAAAAAAACTAGCTTAATACAGGCAAAGAGACAGAAAATAGGCTTTCATGCAGAGTGTAAATCATGGAAGGTGGTGAAGTTGAGAATAAGGATCCTGGATTTTCTGTGATAAAACACAGAAGACTGGAATGAGGAAAGATATCTGAATCTGGAGGGATAAATTATGCCAACAACCAAGACTTGCAAAGATGTGAATCATGGAAGAATTAAATATTTATAGGTGTAGAAAAAGTCAACAGAAATAAGTTATTCTACTTACTTAAATAAGTTATTTCTACTTCTTCAATATTTATAGCCATACTTTAGCCATGAGCTGTGTGCCTTCAGATTTCTGTTTAGCCTGCATTCCTCTCCTTGGATATCAGCTGCATTTTTGCTGCAGCAGCCTGTTCCATGTGCTCTCACATTACAGAGAGAATTTACATAAAGTTCTTCCAGTTTAATGAAGAATTGAGAAATGCTAGTTTGAAATTCAGTGTTTGGAATCAGGAAGTGTTTTATTTATTTTCAATCTTCTTTCAAATCCAGCAGTACTAGTGGCTGCTCTTGAGTCATCTTGGCTTCACTTCCATGAAAAGATTTTCTTTTTGACAGCTTCATTTTTTTGTTAGAGTGAAGCTGGGTTGTGGAGATTTCATTATGAAAGATGATAGTTCCGTTAAAGGTAGTTTTGTTAAAGGCACTCAAAATCCCTGCAGTAGCTTTCTGCTGGATTTGATCAATGGGCAGTCAGTCTAATATGTCAGTTTTGATGAGATATTTATTCCTGGTGTTTTATTTATCCCTGGCAGTATACAGATATGCTTTAGAGCCAGCTTTAGCTGTGGTCACTTTGTGGTGTTGAGCCTTGTTCTTAGATGTGGGAGGTTGTGCTAAGTGGAGCCTGAAGGGTGATTACACTTAGGCAAGGTAATGTGCAAAGGATCATGATCAGTGCTATTGCAAATTCAATGTCAACTTTTGCCAGATTTTGAGGTCTTTGTGCAGAGTATAGTTGGTACAATGATGGAAAAGGTGAATTATTCAGAATGCACCTTTAAACCTCATCAGCAAGCAGTGTGCAGCTTGTCTTCACTCTTATGTTATCTCTCTTTCATCAGTCACTAGGCACTCCTTAAAGAGTTATATCTTCCTTTCCTGCCATATTGGCAGCTATAAGGTATTTACGGCTGTATTTACCAAACAATGGTGGATTTGCAAAGCACCACTGTCGCTGTGGAGTTGCAGTGTCCATAGTACTCACTGCCTGTTCCTGTGGTACATCATCACCTGCAGCCAAGCCATCATCTGAGCTGCCTGGCCCAACTGTCCTTTCCTGACCTCGGTGCTTGTTCAGAGACTGGAGGTTTCTGACAGCTGCAGCTTTTTACCAGTTGGGATGTGTTAGTTGCCTTCTGGGAGCGCATCTTCTGGTGCAGTTTTGTCTGAAAATAATCAGGTTTTGGGTTTTTTTTTTTCCAATAAGACTAAACTAATGCACAGTAAATAAGGATGCTTGGGAAATGCACTTCAGAAGTCCATTTGTGACCTAAAATAAATACACAATATAGACACAACCAAACACCCACCATTTCAATGGTGAGCTACAGGGGAGGCTGGTGCAGGCTGTGCTTTCTTTGCCTTGTGTGGGTAGGGCTTTCATGCACATGGAGTCAGTGAAACACTGTGACTTCTAGGGAGCAAATAGGTGTTGGTGGGTGTTTGTGTTGCACCTTCCCTATCATCCTCTTCCTGAGATAATGCTGGTTGCGACAGTGACAGTTCAGTCCATATATGTAAAGCATGTGTAAATACATAATACTTCTAATATAAAATGAGCATTGTATTTTGCATTGTTTTTATTTATGCATAAGCTTGTGTTCTGTTGGAAAGTCAAGAATAGTGCACATGACCTTTTAGTGCTTTTTATTACAAAACCTCTCAGAATAGTTCTGTGCAGGTCGAGGCAGGAAACAGAACTGAAGTCTCAGGTAGAACTGAAGCAAAGACTGCTGAAAGGGAGCCCAGGAGCTCACTGCACTCCACCTGTTGCCAAACCAGCAGTGACATACCATGGTGTTCATAGCTGGCTTTTCCCCCTCAGTCTTTGCAGCAGGTGTTTCAATGACAGAGATTTCTCAGTTATCTACAGATACTGTGCAGCACTTCTTTATTATCACTGAAGTTCCCCGCTATATAACCAAGATACTGCTTGTTACAAATTAAACCCATTATATTTTTTGCTTGCTAGTGTAGACAGAAACAATTTGTCTTTGTTCTTTTAGAAGTTTCTTCTGTATTTGAACATTTCTTCAATAGGTTCTTTTATCCTAAAGACTTTATTTAGGGGTACTGCAATTTATTATTTGACTTTCAGTAGACTATATTAAGAAAAGCCAATTTTCTGTCTTCTGAACTCCCCTCTGATTAATAATAGTTTGCACAAAATTACTTAGAGTGGAAAACTCATGTAGCATATTTTATATTTATTATAAGGGACTGAATTTTAATCAGTCCTTATGAACTTTCTTAAAGAAAAAAATTTTCACCCTTTATCACATGAGAGCTTATAGGTATATTGAAAATTGTGTGTAAGAGATAGCTCTAGGGTGTAATTCCATTATATGTGGAAAAAAATTTCTGAAGGTATTTCATGAAGCAATGCAAAAAAACAAACTCCTTTTTCTGGGAATGATAAAGAGCATGTAATACATGGCTGTGAATGTTTTTACATTTAAGTAATTATTGAAAAATTTTTCAGAGAACCCATTCTGAACTTATCTAGTAAGAAGACTCACTCACTATTTTGGAATCATTGTGTTGATATTTCATGCTTCCCACACGATCTTAGAAAGCTTGTCTTCTTCCTTCTTAGGAAAAGTTTTATTTTTCAAGAGATATCACTGCTGGGATATTATAAAACTACCATGAATGTTTTGTATTACAGATAAAACATGCATGCTCCCAAATATATGCATTTTCTAAGAGGAATGAAAAATATTTTGTAGCTTTGTACATTTGGTTTCACGATGCAGCAAGCTCAGATACAATTTATCTTATAGCAAGTGGATTATGAGCAAAAATGCTGGCCCACATGGGTTTTCAGTTATCACTATACATTATTTCTTGTGGGAATTGGGTCTCAGTGCCCCAGTCAAGGCCTCAAGCTGCTTTGCGCCGTGCCTGTTACATGGAGGCAGAGCAGAGGCACACTCTGGCAGATGATCCCTTTATTTGAGGCTGTGACGAGGCTGTGGATGCTGGCAGAAGGTGTTTGGATGTTTCTGGAAGCAAGTGTGTTTTGGCAGGTGGCTTTACAATCTCCTAACTCTAGTTGCCCTACATCTAGCCAACACCAGATATGAAGATATGGAGACAAACCTCACGCAAAAGAACGTATTAGGTTGTTTAAATAGAAAGAAAGTATTTACAATATAGTGTATTGCTGAGTAAATGAATGAACAGTTTAACAAACCAAAATACCAAGTTGTCTTGCTTTTGCGCAGCACAGTCCAAGAGTTAAAGGCAAAGCCTAATGAATTTTTGCTTTGTTTTGTTTTAGAACGCCAAGCGTGTGCATCCATGGCTGGCTCCAGCGCCCTTCCCTCCAGCGTGGCCGGTATCAGCAAGGAGCTGATGGAACTGCAGCACCTCATCCAGTTCCCAGAGGAGGTTGCCAGCATCCTGACCGAGCAGGAGCAGGAGCTCTACCGCAAAGTCTTGCCCATCGACTACCTCTGCTTTCTCACCAGGGACTTGGGCAGTGCTGAGTGCCAGAGCAAGCTGCCGTCTATTAAGGCATCCATATCTGCTACTATTCTTTCTTCTCCCAATGGTGAACATAATGCTGTAGAAGATCTTGTGACAAGGTTTAATGAGGTAAAATGAAACTTTTAAATTACTTTTCCTAAGGGTTATTACCTGATGTGTGGGTTTGTTATTTCCTTTATCTCTCAGAGAAAAATCTAGCTATAACAAAAATTTTTGAAAATATAACTGAAGGTGACCAGTTATTTAGCTAAATAACTTGTATTGAATTTAATAGGACCTGTGTGATCAATTTGCTCAGTGAGGCTGGGAAACAGTGGCCTACCTTTTTCTTGCACATTGTAAAGTAAACACGAAGAAAAAAATTACAGACTTCTAATTCTTTGTGTTTATACTGACAGTATGGGGTATGGTTTCAGTCAGTTTATTATTTTGTTTAGGTGCTGGAGTTCTATTTATTTGTTTTGGATTCTTGTAGACTAAGCATGATCTCAGGAGTCAGCACAGAAGTATTATAAACTAGAATTTTCTGTATTTTTTGTAATATAACTATGCTAGTCTGCACTATTTATTTAATCGCTGTGTGTGTCTTTAGCATTGTTATACAAACAAGTGTCACTTGGCATGACATTTTCACTAGCCAAATGTTGAGTTCTTTAGTAAGATTTTATTTTGTTTTCAAGAAGGTAGTCGTCTGACAAGTTTAATAGAAAATTGATTAAGGATTGAGAAAATGGTAAAAAAAATCCACCCAAAACTCCAACCCAAATCAAAAATCAAATCACCTAAATAAAAATTCATGTTTTAGCTGCAGAAACATGGAACAGTTTCTTCTTTTTTTTGGGTGGGATCGGGGGGGTGAACTATGTGCAATGTTGGCAGTTACCAGTTTCTAGAATTGTAGAAGTGGAATAAAATGAAGATAAAGTTGACTTAATGCTTTTTTAGTTTGCTATCCACTGCATTCTTATAATGGGTGAGATGAAAATCATGCAAGTAGTAGAAAAAACCAACATAAAATTAAGTAAACGTAGAAGAATGTGTATTAACCCCCAGTTAACTTCCTGTGTGTTGGGCAAAGAAGAATCAGGGAGTGAATATTGTAGCATGTTTCAAAGTGTTCCTTATTTGTGTGTGTTACTGAGATTTAGAAACTAAAATAGCTTAATATGTTGGCTTCTCTCACCTTATTCACTTATGGGAACATACATAAAAGTTGCAACTATAATATTCAGTCTTTAAAGAGAGCCTAAAAATAAAGTTAAAATTAGCTGCAGTAGCAGTGCTCCAGAAGATGCTGTGGCTGCAGAGGGCTGTAAGTGCTGACCCTGCTGGGGCTTCTCAGCAGGCTGAGGCCAGGGGAGACAAGGTGCCCTGGCCAAGCTGTGCTGCAGCCTGCTGAGGCACAGTGCCAGGGCAGTGTCTTGAGGATGTGTGGCCATCAGCTGTGCAAGTGAGACTGACCGCGATTGTGTTCTGACAATGAAGGGTCACAGGATTGAAAAGCACGTAGGTCCTGAAGAAGTCTTGTCAGAAATGACTGAGTCTGCTCCCTATCAATGACAATTTTAGCATGAAAATTGCCTTTTGATAATATAGTCAGCATTGTCTTTTCATCTTGGAGGTTTGTGACTTTGCAGATTTTGTTGTCTAGCATTCCTTGTTTGGTAATTGTACAGGATAGTTTTTTATATAATTTGAATTAATTCCCAAATATTCAGTACACAGATTCTTTGGTATTTAGTGCAATAGATTATTTGAAGTATAATCTGGAATACATTTTTAAAAACATAGATGTTATATGTTTAAACGGAGTTATTGTAAAATATTTGCTGCTTTTAATAAATCACTGGTTTGCTATATGCTTTATCTTACGGTGGAGTATATCAGTTGCCATAGCCAATCACAAGAGTGAACTCTCAAAATGTCTTTGTTTATAAATGGAAAGAAAATTCTTGTACAAAGAGTCATGATTTTGTTGGCAAAACTCAGTGAGCACTTGCTGATTTTTTTGGCATTCCCTATAGAAATACTGAAGTGTATTTATAATGTAGGAGCCAAAATTACTTTTAGGATGACAGGCTTCTGATACATGATGGGGAAAAACAATTCCATGTCATTTTTCTGTTAAATAATAATTATATTATTTAGAGTATTTTTCATAAAGCAGTATACTTCTTAGTATTTTTTTCTGACAATACATATTAAGGAGGAACACTCTATAAAACTTGTGTAAAATGAAAGTCAATCCTGAAGATTTTGGGCTACGTGCATTCAGTATCACCAACTATAAATAAAGCCTGCAGTCTTTAAGGTTTGATTAAAAATGTAATTGCATAATAGTGGAGCCTTGGGCACAACACGTACTCATCGGTGAGACTCAGCTCATACTTCATTTGCTGCTAATAATATCCAATTGATCTTAGACTCTCGTCTGAGCAAGACTGTAGACCAAGCTAAAGACAGATATTCTTTCCTTAGTGTAATTAAAAGCTGGTTCTGAATTAGTGGCTAGTGTGGGAGGATTAGGGTGAAATACAGTGACATCTACCTTTACAAAACTGTTGGCTCTAAGTCTAAGACTGTGCACTCAGTAGTAGCAGCAATATATTTTTCTGCTCTGATGGAGCACTGGCTATAAGAAGTGTCATTTTCAAGGATGTAAAACTGTAGGAAGAAACTCCTGAGATTCTGCAGTTAGCAGAGCCTTGGCAGCTGGGGAGTTAGGAAAATGGTACGTACCTAGGTGTGTTTTAGGATCCTAACAACTGTGACATACTTTTTTGCCATCTCTCCTTGTTGCTTACTGTGCCTTTCTCTTCTTGATTTACTTATTTTCTGTGGTTCTTGTATGACATGAGTTCACCCCGCTTCTTTACGTGCAGTGACATGTGCTCCTTCCTCAGTTCATATGCCACGGTCTTCCTTGGATTCTGTTTCTTTTTCTGTCTCTTTATCCCCACCAGACTCTTGCTTCTTTATGACTGACTCCCAACCACTCTTGTGCCTGTTACCAGCAAAGCGACCACAGAGACACAAGCACAATGCATATGTTATAAACATTTATGTGTATGTAAACATTTAAAATAATTTCAATCATTGCTTTATATAAACATGGAAAGAGTCTCTTGTAACTTGATGTTTCTGGCTTAAGCTTCAAGTAAAAGAAAACCAATAAAACTGTATACAAACTGAAACATTTAATTTTCCACTCTGACATATGCGAACAGAGCAATTGTGGGTTCTTTGATTGAAAGTTACACCAGATTGGAAGATCATTCAGACAGCTGACTGAAGTTAGTCCTAGTGCTGAACTGAAAATGCAAAATCAGAAGTCAAATGCATAAAGTGATTTTTTGGAAAGATATGGTTGCCAAAAAATAAGCTAAAAAGGTAAAAAAGTTTGAACGGTGCTAGTACAACCCTGCTACTGGAGTGGGTTCATCACACACTAAATCATTCTTAAAATCAATAAAGTTAATTAAAATATGGTTACTTAGGACACTTGGTAATGTTAGTTTTATTTTTAATGGTTAAATTTTGTAAAGGTTTTTTCATTGTTCATTCAAAATACAAATTTAAACTTCACTAGCAAAACAGAGACATATCATTTTACTGAAATAATGGAATGTAAATAAATATTGCAGTCTGTCTCTTAGTTCAGCATTTTTTTGCAATGCCTAAATGGGTTTGCATAATGCTTTTTAAAAGATTGTGTTTGTACAAATATCAAACTCTTTCCAGTCCTTGTTTGGAATAGTGTTTAATCAGATTTTAAATGGTAAATGTTCTCTGTAATGTTATATAATTTCACACAAGCGTGTAAAGTAAACCACCTATTAATAAGATATGCAATTTAAAATATTCAGATATTAAAAATGCATCTGAAAATTATCTTGCATATTATAGCAAGAGCCAAAAAATTTAAATAATTAAACCTCAGTGAAACCCATGTAAAAACTGTTTTATACACAGGACTGTGTATAAATATATATAGACAGATATTCATCAATATGCACTGACAGGTTTGTGCACAGTTAGCAGTGCAGAGGAACTCACTGCAGCCAGCTATTAGTGCTAATGCTGCATACTGCTAGTTTTTTAATTATTGTTTTTAAAGGGAGAAATTGCACTATCCTGATACGCCAAGAATTCTGCTTTTAAACAAAATAATGTTTTTCCCTCTTGCCATGATTGCTGTATGATATCTGCTGAAGGTTATTATTCATGTTCTTCAGATTTTATTCAAATTTCTTGATTTTTATGAAACAAAATTACTAAAACCAGAATGACTTGGTTAAATGTGTGCTGTGCTTATCTTTTGGATAAGCTTATAGATTGCTGTGCTTATCTTTTGGATACCTTGTTTTGTGCTGCTGAAGGTTATTATTCATGTTCTTCAGATTTTATTCAAATTTCTTGATTTTTATCAAACAAAATTACTAAAACCAGAATGACTGGGTTAAATGTGTTATAGATTGCTCTGCTTATCTTTTGGATACCTTGTTTTGTATGCAGAGACTTTTCATACACATACTTTATTTTGTCAGTATTAAAGTTTCTTGCTTTCTTGCTCCAGTTTAGGCACTATTTAAATCAGCTACAATTCGTTGTAGAAAGATATCCATGGCTAATTTATGGTAGGAATTAAAGAAGGCATGTACTGTAATCTCACCTTGTGGTAAACCAGAAGATTTTGTTTTACTTGCTAGCAAGGGTAGTTGTTAAACTTCAGGCAGGCAGCTGTGTTTGGTAATTTCACCTCTGAAAGCTGCGTCTCTCAAGTATTATGAAGTTGCTAAAAATGTAATATAAATATAGAAGAGATCATTTCTTCCATGTAGCATCACCCACTGAAGTAGCTTGGGAATTGCTGTAAAAGTTTTACAAACTGAAGCGCTGGCAAAATGAGTGTAAAAAACTACAGATGATAAACACTGCACATTGCAACTGGAAATTGTTAATTTCCTCCCTCAAAGCACCACTACATTTACATTCTCATAAAATATGAAAATTAAGTTAATTACCATTTAAAAAAAAAAGGAGATATATAGAGGATAGTAAAGAATTTATATAAATATAAGTGAATATATATATTCATTCATATGTATATATATATATATATAAATAATCTAAATCTTGAGTATTAGAAGACTGAAATAAGAGAATGAGTGAAGAAAATCTGTGGCAAATTTAGGGCTAAAGTTAATAATTCAACATGTATTAAATGCTGTTCCTTCCTGTGTACTACATGGAGTGAGGTTCCCATAGAGTGAATGATAAACAACCCTGTAGGTTGCACTTGTACAGAGATTTAAGGTCATGTACCATAACTTGAGGATCAAGTTCCATCAAGAGTGTCTCTTTCATGTCCTTCATGTTTTATTAGTAAAAGCAGCTGACCCTCAGTAATAAGCTATATCCTGGCCCTGACAAATTGGTAGATTTTTGCCTGCATATAGATTTGTCTTGAAATCAGTGGTAGTCCAATAATTAGTTAATCAAAAACATAGCCTCATTTTACATTTTTAGTGACTGATATGTATTTCTCATGTTTAAAAGTAAAAAAAAAAAATTAACACTGAGTAAAAATATGCCTTTCGTAAATGCATTAGCAATAGCTAACCTGAATTTACTTGATGTCTTTGACCAAAGTAAGGTAAGCCAAAAAACTTCTAAAAAAATTAGTTAAATTAGTTATTGAATACAACAGATTTTGGTGCAGTTAAAATAGTAGAGATGATAGAAAAAGATAATTTCAAAAAACCTGAAACTGTACAGATCTTTTTTACGTATTGCTCAGTATAGCTTGCATTGCCAAGATATTGGGTACAGGTCCTGTGTGCTCAGATTCAGATTTGAAGGAGATTCCTATATCTATTAAACTTTGCAAATAAGGCTACTTTCTATGTATCTGAACTTAATCTGGCTCAACGTCGTTAGTGCTTCTATTAGGGCACCAGAAAATGTTTAAATCTTAAGCAAACATCTATTCAATTTTTCTTGTTTAGCACTTAATATTAGTGTCCAGTAATCCTGAAGGACACAAATTTTTATTCATCTGAATGAAAAGACTGATGTTATTATCAACTTGTTTAAGTGGATCGTGTGTTAATTTATTACTTTTCTTGTGTCTTGCAATCATGTGGGTTATCGCAATGAAGCCAGGATACATTTTCTCATGCTTTTCAGACTCATCAGCAGCGCAGCGGAAATCTAATTATAGGTTTGCCGTGATGATTTCTGTTCTGAGGGGAGCTTAAAAATGAGTTACATAAACAGAACTATGAAAGTCAAGTGTGAAACAAAAAGTAAACTAAGGAAATAATGACTACTGTGTTGAAACGTAGATTGTGATTTTATGTTAAAGTGCTGTCCAGCACAAAAACTTGGTCCAAAAAGCTTTACTGCTCTTTCTGACAAATACTTGTAATGTATTTTGATCTCCTTGGCAAGGCTGCTCCTGTGCACTCTTTGGCTGGGATGTGCTGTGTGTGCTCAGGCACTGCCTGAGCCCTGAAGCTCTGGTGCTGATGTCATGGCAGCTTGGTACCAAGGCAGCTGATGGTGCTTCATCCTCAGGTCAGGTGTTCCTTGGCTGTGGTGCAGCTGGGGACATGGCTCTGCAAGCCAACCAAGAGAGAAGTGCTGCAAGAGGAGGTGCTGTTTTGTATCCACTTGGCTGGAGTGTCCAGAAGTCAGAGCTTGCCAGGGTGGGGTTTCCCTTTGCTCTCCACCCTGACTAGAAAACCCCTAGGTTTAGTGACAGAGAAATTGTGCCACATCAAAATACCATCTGTACTAATTGCTTGCCAAAGTAGAAGAAATAGGATTCTGAATTCAGCTTCCAGGTGAATTCCATAGCCAAGAAATACATACCTGTAGAGTTCTTCTCTGCTTTTCTTTTGTGTGGGGTGCATCTAGTTCAGCTGTACACAGACAGCATCTGAGGAAACCCACTTCTGAACTCCCATTTCAATGAAAATTTGAGAAGTTTGTTATTTCTTGAATACCATCTGTTCCTGATCTCCAGGAAAAATTAAAATACCAACATTTCTAAAGCAAGCATGTTCATTATTTCTCAGGAGTGGTTTGTGTCTCTAGATGCTCACTTCTGTCCCCTGATTCTGCCCAATCTGTTATATCTGCCTTTGCCTATTCTGTTTTAAAATTAAAAGATTCAGACACTTTTTTTTTCTTGTTTAGTGAAAGATTTTTTAAAATGTTTTTTACTCCTGTATTGTTGTCCTGCAAGAGGAGTGAGCATGACCTTCATGGTGCCTTTTGTACCCTTCTTTTGCTCTTACATGTTATACAGCATCTCAAGTCTGCAAGGCTCACCCATGCTGCCCTTTATAGTTTTTGTTTGTGTTTTCAGATTGTAAAAATTCATCATGCTGTTTTTAGTGGTCTTAAACTCTCTATTAAATAGAATTTCAGCAAGAGGCTGCCCTAGTTTAAGGGTTTCCTCTTAATGGAGAGTCTGAAGTCAGTTGCCTTTTTAGACATTCTTTCTTAATTTTGATACTGCTTTCTCCTGATAATTACATCTTTACTACCTTAGATTAAAACATATCTGTTTAAAATGATATGATTCTTTGAAGTTTCTAAAACCATGTTGATCAAGTCATTACCAATTTGGTATTTCATAGCAAACAAATATTAATTTTTTTGTGAGATTGGATGTTTAGCAGTTGCATTCCCTAACACAGCCATTTATGGAAAATGAGAATAATATCCAAAAATAATATGTCACTTTATTCCAGCATGCAAAAACAAATCTGTGCCACAGATCGGACTGTTCTATTTCACAGTTTTTGATTTTTAAATGGATTTATTTTATTACCTTTTATTCTGGTTTTGCCCTCATTTGACCCCCGTGCCATGCAGTGCTATGGTGGTTTGTATTTTCCATACCTTCATGCTCTTCAGGTATGCACTTCTTTGTTGATTGAGTTTTTATATTTTAGGCGTAACTAACTGAACACTTAAATAAAATTTTAGCTGAATACAGATTCTCATTCTGAGCTGCTGCAGTGGTTAGTGTGCTGTCCCTGACACACAAAACCTATTAGAGCATCCCCATAGTCACTGTCCTCACTCCTGAGTATTTCCCCAGTGAATGAATCTTCAAGAATTCAGTTCTAAAAGTGTGAATTTTTTTTTCCGATATAGGGGGTATGACTTTTCTTCTCATATGGACATTTCTCATTTATTGTTCTTGATTGATGTTACCCTCAGACAGGTTAAATAGTAACTTAGATTCTTTGTAGTCTTTGATTTTCCTGCCTCAGGAGCGGGTGGCTCAGAGCACTCAGTCTGTATAGACTTGCATAAGTAGAAGCTTTATGTATTTTCAGTGGGGTTATTTTCCTGTTAATACCAATGCATTTACATTTTATTTCACATGGTTGGTTTTTTAAATGAAAGTCGATGGCCCCTGAAGGGTGAACTAGCATTTCCTAATTTTTATAAGCCTCACTTCTTCACAGTGGTATTATCTGTAAACACTTGAGTCCTTCAGGACCAAAGAATGGAACACAGTGTCAGTAAACAAATCACGTTTATTGCCTCCTAAGTGTTTACACAATGACAAAAATCAAGCCTCCAGGGAGTCATATTGTAAAACGAAACAGTTGGTTTAAATTAGTTTTCCATGTGAAATATAGCTACTTTTTATGGATATTGTGGGAACATAAACTGGAAAGAAAAATTTGCACACTGATAAAATGAAGGGTTGATTTTCACATACTAAGTTGATTTCTGATTCCGGGATTAATTAGTTACTAAAGAGAAGTTGGTAGTGTGGACACACTTTGGAAGATGGAATTTCTTTTTATTTACTTCATTCGTGATCTTGCAAACAGATAATGCAAATTATCTGAAATGTTCAGTGCATATAGGAATTAGCAAAATTGGGCATTAAATGCATTTAGTTTTATGAAATTAGCCAAACCCAAAAAATTCCAATTTATCAACTTTCACTGTTCATGTTGTTAACAAAGTTTATATGGGGCTGAGTTCTATAAGCCGTATTAATGAAAAATTACACTGCAGATCTCTCCAGCAGCTTTAGAAGTCAGCGCTAGCTGAAGCTGTCCATTTTCTTCTGTGGCATCAATGCATATTCAGAATATCTTATATTAAGATACAGTAGTTTTTGTTTAATAAAAGTTTTTTTAGATTAGTTAATGATTTAAATGTTGCAATGTGAACGTCACTGTGTAGGTTGTGTTTGCAATGCATATGTGATTTGGCTATGAGCGTGTAAGTGGGATTTTGACTGGTGCCCTCCTGATGGAGGAAACCAAACAAACCCACGTTATCTGTCAAGGATGCATCAATGCTCCAAGGGACATTGCTTTGGCTGACCATACTGTCTGTTTGGTTTTACCAGGTGAGCTCCTGGGTTACCTGGCTGATCCTCACTGCAGGTTCTATGGAGGAGAAACGAGAAGTCTTCTCCTACTTAGTACATGTGGCAAAATGCTGCTGGAATATGGGCAACTACAATGCTGTAATGGAATTCCTGGCAGGGCTAAGGTACTGGCAACTCTTTTTTTTTTTTTTAAATGGTTTTTCAGTGATAGATTACATTGCAGCTTCTGTTAAGCAGATGTCTCTAGAGAACAATGAAACTAAACAAAAATCCATGGCTAAGCCACATCATCTCATGCTGTGACTTTCTAGTAATCCCTTTTCGAAAAATGAAGCGTGCTAAACCCTTTCTTTTTTTCTCAAAATTCTCTGAAGACTCCAGCAGTTTTCCTGGTGGATGCTGAATATGTTGCATTAGAAATTTTTTTTTCACAGAAATTTTTAAAAATATAAAAAGAAGATGGGAAAGAAGTTGTAGTTTATCTAATGAGCTGCAACTAGTGTAACTTGGGATTGGAATTTCCAGAATATAAGTGAAACATGATTGTAGTGATGCTCTAAAAGGATCAGTCTTAACTGTAAAAAATAAACTACCTGAAAATGACAAAAAAGCCAAAAAAGACCAAACACCCAAATCTGTGTTTTAACCCCTCTGATTTACTTATACAGACTGATGTTGGGATCTCATGCTGTCCTGGTCTTATGTAGAAGGACTTGCATTATCTCAAGGAGGAGAGAGTAGGGGCTCAGAGACAGCTGATAGCGTGCTTTCCTCTGGAATGACAGGTTCGTGCAGGGCCAGGGGAGCAGGAAGGCAGTGCCTTAGCACTGGCAGTTCAGAGGGCAGCAAATGGCTCTGAGCAGGGAAGAGTTAAGATCAAGTTTCCCATCTCTTGGCTTTGACCCTCCTTGTATAACATTTTTGTGTAACAAAGCTCTAAAGTGTTTGCATTGCTGTTCCTTGTGGTTCAGTAAGGACCTCATTGAGCTATTTGTTTATGGTTTTGGTATATAAAGCTCTTTTGGGACACTCATAGGCATGGGGAGTATATTTCAGCAGAACACATCCACCATCTCTAAGCCATGTAAAGTATGAGGGAAAATGCAAGGCAAATTGAGGGCTTCATTTTGTCTCTCACGTGTCTGCACAGGAGAGAAAGGAAGGGAAGGCTGATGCTGATGAGCAGCATTTCAGGACAGGAATGGAAAGTTGGGTTAAGGGCAGTCTACTGTGAGTGTATCTTTGGATCTTTTGGTATGTCTGAGGCCGGGGGTGGGAAGAAAGGCCATGTGATTACACAGACATACAGAAGGTAAAAGAATTCCCAGAGGTACTCATAGTCCTTTCAGCTATTTCTGTTGGAAATCAGAATTTCTTTTCAGCTACAGCTCTGCACTGTTGCCTGAGAGCTTGAACATGTCCCTGACTTCCTTATTTCTGTGAAAGTAAATAATTTGTGAGCAAATTGGGGAAGAAATCAATGTAATTTTTTTAAAACAAATTTAATTAAAACTCTTCAACTTTTGCTTACTTTATGGATTGTTCATAATATAGCTGAAGGAATTTGTAAGAAACACTCTGATATATCTTTATGCTGTTATCTCAATCTTTTCTTATTTCTTTATGGGCCCTTTGAAATTTTAGGCGATGACACAATAAAAATGTTAGAAAGCCGACTGGTATGTTTTATGCAGCTGGGCTTTTATTAAAATGTGAAATACTGCTCCAGTAGATCAGACTGCTAGTTTCTCATTTTTAGTTTTGTTCTTTGATAATTCAGAGAGGGAATTTTTATAAAAGTAATGGTTGATTTCATTCATTCATTTTTGAGCAATTATAATTTTCTCTATTTCATATATGCGGTAGGTGTTGAACTTGAAGGTAACTTGTTTAAATTTTTTTAATAAATGTTGCGATCTCTTCTTGCACTAGGTCAAGAAAAGTTTTAAAAATGTGGCAATTTATGGACCAGTCTGATATTGAAACCATGCGAAGTCTGAAGGATGCTATGGCACAGCATGAGTCATCATCCGAGTACAGGAAAGTGGTCAACCGGGCGCTCAATATTCCAGGCTGCAAAGTTGTTCCTTTCTGTGGTGTATTTCTAAAAGAGCTCTGTGAAGTTTTGGATGGAGCATCAAGCCTCATCAGACTCTGTCCACGATATAACTCCCAGGATGAGACATTAGAGGTAAATGAGACAAATATTCTGAGATGTTATGTTCTTAGCCAGTGCTTTATTTTATACAATCTTACACACAGGCAACATCAAATGAAAGTTTCTAAACCAGACTGCTATTAGACTGGTCAGTTACATGGACCTCAATTTAATTCCCATAGTTCCTTAGCAATTTAGATTTGGTTGTTTCTACCTAGTTCAATATCAGAGTACTGAGAAATCAGCGTTAGTAATAAAGGATCTTGTTTATACTTTGGATCAAGTAAGTATGTAAAGCCCAAAATGTATAATTATTTTCCGATAAATACTCTGATCTTCCACTTAATTCACTGGGAATTGGAAGTTTGCAGTTTCCTAAAAACAGAATTTAGAAGCTCAGCAGATCAAGCTTTTCCTCTATGGAAAGAAACTATTCTTATGAGTTCTATTATTGTAGTTTGAAAAGAAAAATACTCCTGTTAGATGAAACATTAAAGACTGAGGCTTTTTTAAGTTTTCAGGAGTTACTTTAACATGTGTTACTTGATTTATGAAAGGATTTTGTTTGTTTTGTGTTGCAAGTAGGCACAAAATCCCATGGAAAATATATAATAAATATTCTTAATAGTAAAAAATTCCACAGTGAGAAGTAGATGACGCAATGTTCTATTTGTAGCTATACTAATCTTTTAGGTATATGTCTAGTTTGTTTCAGATTACAGTGGACAAGATAATTTCTTACAACGAGTAGGCCAAGATGGTTTAAATAATCCAGAAAAAGAATCAACAACAAACAATATCTTTCAAACAATTCGGAGCTGCAATCGCAGTCTGGAGTCTGAAGAGGGTGAGGATAATGTCAGTGAAGGGAGCGACTCAAGGAAAAACTCCTTGAAGGACAAAAACCGCTACCAGTAGGTCTCATTTTATTTACTGTCATCACTCCTATATATCTTGGTTTTGGTCTTTGATTTTCTTTTACCAAGGCTTGCCTTTAGAAATAAGAGGAACTTTAACATCTTTCCTTGTATTTATCCATTTCCAGTTAAAAACTTTTCTCCCCTGATACTCAACTGCTTGGAAACTCGCTGTATAGCTATATTTTCCCTCATGATGTAATTACTTCCTCTCATGATAAGGGTAAATCCTTTTTGTCTTACACAGAGAGCTTTAAAAATCCACAGTTACAATTACAATTTTGATCTCTAGCGACAGGAATAGCACCAGGACATATTTGTTATCAGAGCTCAGAACATTATATTCTGCATGCTCAGGCAGTGTTCTGGCCCCTTCAAAAAAAGCTTATTTATTATCCTTCAAAAGACTTCTTCTTTTAAGGACATGTTACTTTGAGGTGTTTCAGTTTTGTCCAGGAAACATTCATGTGTGAGTACATATTTTGAATTTTCAGGTTGCTATAGTCCTGCTATTTTGCAAAGAAGTTTACTTCATTGTGCCCTGTGTAAAAAAAGCCCAGTGTTCAGTAATCTGATTTCACTTTGAAGACCACTCTTGAAGACTTTACTAGTCACCAGCAGGAAATGCAGAGTTTAGGACATCACATGATCTTCCAGAATGTTGCTTTGCAGAGAAGTTTCATTGCAAAGCCCATGTAGACATAGGTGGGTCAGGTCAGCTTTCAACTAACTGTGTTAGACTGACTTCAAATTAAGTAACAGAACTTTACTGCTGTGAGGTGAAGTACTGTAAAATTACATGAGGGCTTGCATTAAAAAACATGCTTAAGTCACTGCTGGAGTTATTTTACTGATAATGTGTATCAGAAATATCAGTATGTTCAAAACTATCCAACTTACTTCAGCTACTTAAACTTTAAATCTAATAAGTGACTGCCTGAGAGGCAACTGCTATCTTCCTGTTTAAAATGCATTTATTTCATTAACATGTAATTCTAAATTTCATTTCAAATAAATAATCATTATTTCCTGAAAGGATGGTTTCTAATAGAATTATTCACATCTGGCTTTAGTTGCTTCTGGGAAGTGGTGCACTAGATTAAGCCAAAAAAGGCAGACCCACTTCTCTGCCCACATATATTATCCCTTGACTTACTTCAAGTAATACTTTCAAGTACTAATGCTTTCTTCCAGGAATTACTTTTTGTTAATTAATGTGCTTTAAAATCAACTTGCAAATCACAGTTCAAATGGTGAATAAGTGAGGCATATAAATACTTCACTTGGATGAACAAAATAGAAATTAAATGGAGTTCCTTTTTTTATGTCTATTAAATAATTTCTTGGTAAATTACTTAGGCTTTATTCATAAATGTAGTCTAGTGAGTTGCACTCCAAACTAAAGTAGGAATTCAGTTTTTTAAAAATCCCAGTGTGAATCAGAAATAAAAATTTAAAATTTAAATGAACAAAACTGCTGATAGGTAATTAAAGTTGTGTTTCCTGGTTCAGGCTACTACCTGCTCAGCTATGTCTGTACTTCTCATGCAGTAAATACTGATTTTAACAGTAAAATACTTCTAGGAGAATAGTTCTGAAGTACTGATTTAACTCAAGTGTCTCACAGGCTTTGGAAATTCCTTATTCACTTGCCATACCTTTCCTGGATGTGCAAAGAACTGGCACAGGAGCAAATTGCTACAGAGCAGAAGCACCATGTTCTCTTGTACTTGTATGGAGGCTGTGTTTGGTTTATTTTTATTCCTATGAACAGCCAAAGGGTTCTAAGGAAGAAATTTAGTCCTCTTTCTTGTAAGACCTGTCATATTTGCATACAGTGTTATAAAATCCAAATTATATCATAATTACACATTATCTGATAATTGTAGCATTGTGGTCATAAAGGCAGAAAAATACACTGTTTCTCATTATTTTATAATTGTAAGAAAGATTTTCAATTAGTTTTTCTTTTGATGATTTGGATTAGTATTGTGGAACATGAATGCACCAAAGCTGGTAGGTTAATTTGATTTGAAGAAAATGAAAGGCATCTAATAAAATCAGTGGGCAGTGGATATAATTACTTTCCTAGTTGCGTTAGCAAATAAGCTCTATCACTCCGTAGTCAGTGACCCATCTAATTGCCCTGGATTTCTGTACATGCCAGATAAATATCAGACATTAATCTTTCTTTGAACTCTGTTCTGACGATAAATTTTTTAAAAATAAAGGTATGCAGGAAAATGAAAAAAACAACCCAACCAAATTTGAAATAGAGTTTTTATGGAATTGTTAATTACTGAGTGACATATGAAGACGCTCCTTATTTTGAATCATTGCTTCATTGGCCTGATCTTATCTTCACATTTAAACTTTCCAATTACAGTAAATAATGTATAACATAGTAGGGAAAAATCTCTTTTTTTTTTCTTTTTGTATACCTTGCAATTTTCTCCTCTAAAACTGCAATCTGTGTCACTGTTTCCTTTATGTTTTCATTTCCTTGCCTCTCAGGGCAGCCCATGTAAAGAAAGCCCCTGGTCCAGCCCAGGCTCTGTAAGTGCTCTCAGGAATTGGTAGTGGTGTCGCTTTTGGCAGCTCGTGTCAGAGGCTCCATTTCTGTCTGTGGTTACGTGTGTGTGCTTGGCTTACCTGCTTCTTGTACATTCTAATCTGCAGCCTGCAACATGTGAAACAAGGCATAAACAAAGCTCTGCCATTTCTGCTGTGATAGACTCCTCCAGCCATGCAAAATACATGTTACAGCATTTTTACAGAGACTAGTTGAGTGTTTGGAGGGCATAGGGGAGAAAGAGCTGCCTCGGTTGTTTGTTTCATTTTGAAATGTAATTTTATATAATGCAGATAAATATTTCAATTTACATGTATCTAGTAAGACAGTTTATATCAGCTCAGTTAAAACACATGACCTTTATTTGTAGAAATATTTCTTAAAGAAACAAAGTTACACTTAAGACCAATGCAGTTATTTTGTCAGTCCCTTCACCACAAGTAATAAAACCTCAACCTATTTGCCACTTTTTTATAAATTTGATGAAGAGACAGAGATCTCACCAGTTAATAAATTTGTAGAGGAATCATTGCTGTATGGAATTTGTGCATTCTTCTGTGGAAGGTATGTATTTTAAACAGTATTTTACTAGTGTTAATCAGAATATTATATAATGTGAAAGGTCTGCACATTAAATCAGTAATAGAAGAGAGATTAGAAGTCCTGTTTGAAATGCACTATATCCTGCTAACAGTTTCCACATATGGCACTTAATATTTCAGCTGAAGCAATCTTACACAGCAGATTTAGAAACTGGTATCACTTGGCCTTAAGAACCAATCAGACACTTTTTATTATTAATGCAAAGTTTGGAAAGTTCTAGGAAAATATAATCATATTGTTTCAGGAGTTATAAGTAATTGTAGCAGCATCTCTTTAATTGATGCAAAATTGCAATAACATGAATTGTAATACTTAACAAACTACACAAGTTCCTGTAAGTCCCAGTTATATAGTGATGATAGTATTCCATTTATTTGAAGTACAGCAGAAAAATATTCATCAAGCATAGCATAAACCAGAACATGTATCACTAAATATAAATCTCTCATCTTTGCTCACATGCAGATTTTTCATCGGAGATCTTTCAGATTCTGAAAGTGACATATTCGAGCAGTTGAAAGAATGGGACACAAGTTCAACAGAAGAGCAGCAAAAGGCTTTTTGCCATGGGATAGAGCTCATTCCCTGGTACGTGTTGTCCATCAGGGCTGATGTCCATCAGTTCATGCAGCAAGGGGCAACCGTCATTCATTACGACCAGGAGACACATCTCTCAGCTCGCTGCTTTCTTCAGCTCCAGCCTGACAATAGCACTTTGACTTGGACAAAACCCACTACAGTTTGCCCTGCAAATGCTAAGGCAAAACTGAGTGTGCTGGGCAATACTGCTGAGCTTGGTAAATACCAGTTTCTTGGTAATACTGGACTGGTGGAAGGTTTTTTGGACTTGTTTTCAGCCAAGGCTGTTTATATGGGACACTCGGGCATTGATATGCACACTGTGTGTGTTCAAAATAAGCTTTGCAATATGTCCCTTGAAGAAAATGGTATAACACTACTTTATGGACTTCAGACTACTGATAATAAGTTGCTGCACTTTGTTGCTCCAAAATACACTGCCAGAATGCTGTATGATGGATTGCTGGAATTGACTAAAGCTGTAAGAAAAATGAGGAGATTCCCTGACCAAAGACTACAGTGGCTACGGAAACAGTATGTCAGCCTTTACCAGGTAAAAAGTGCTGTGATTCTCTATAAAAAAGTTCAAAGATATAAACAGCTTAATGTAATGCAATTAGTTTCCATTATAAGTAAGATTAGATTAAAGATCAACACTAAATCTCTAATTTTGTAACAATGGATTAAGCAGCAAGATCTGATTCTCCACACAAGGTTATGTCAAACCTTGCAAGTTTTCCATACACTGAGGTTAAATTTTTTTTTCTTACAAAGCTCTTCATATGTTTGGAGTTTTGAAATAAGTATTTTATTAAAGAAAAAAGGAAAAAGCAATGACTGTAGTTTTAAAGGGCACGAAAATAATGAATGATAATAGTTAGGGCCAAAAGCATCCCCAAAGCAGCAAACAAAATAGCTCTGGGGAATTCATTCAGCAATCAAAAATTCTCTCCTCTTGATGTTTCTTCCACTGGTTCCTCAGAGATCTATATTATTGCTTTAAAAATGTGTCCTTATTCTCCTTGTTTTGTTAACGCTGGGAATCTTTGTAGGAGGATGGAAGGTTTGAAGGCCCAACCTTGGCTCAGGCTGTTGAGCTGTTTGGAGGCAGACGATGGAGTGCAAGAAGCACAGGCACAGGATCTCTCACCAAAAGCACTGAGAAGCCCAATGTGCAGAGAAACAACACTCTGGGAATCAGCACAGCTAAGAAAAAGAAGAAAGTACTCATCAGGGTAGAATATTTTATTATTCATGTGTTTTGTTTCCTCCTTGCAGTCACTGTGTAGCTGTGTTCTGAACCAGAAAAAAGAAGTTAGATGATGATGATGATGATTTTAAAACTGTTTATTGTCATTTTGGGTTTGAGGATTATTATTTTCCAATAGTTTGCTCTTTTTTCATGCTTGCAGCATTGTTAGGACGTGTAGGTGCTGGGGCTAGCAGAATGGGAAAGAGTCTTCTTGCAGCCTTTAGGTGCTCCCTCAGTATAAAGATAAAACACTGGTGATGATAAAAATCTTAACATGCAAAGTGGAGGTTAGTGTATTTTCTTTTAATCCTTTTTGTTTTCATATTTTCAAAAACACTACCGTAGTTATTCCACATTGCATTAGCTTGCATTTTATCTTGCATGGGTGACAGAAACATGACCTAGTCTGGCAGTCTCCTCTCTTTTCCTGGACAAAACTGCTTTCAACAGTAGGCAGGAGAGAGGAAAATGCAGGACTAGCACCTCTATGCTACCCACATTTTCTAGTGGGCAGGTAGAAAGATTCTCAAATGACAAGATCCATCCTCTTTAGGGTTCCAGTGCACCACTGAAATAGAGTAAAACCAGCTGCAGCATTCTAGAGAGGCACAATCATTATCTTCTGTGCAATGTCAAACTGAGGTAACACCTAATGGTCCGGTGCTATGTATCTGCTTAAGTTGTCTGTTTTCTACTGTTATTGGCCTCACAGGAGTCTCTTTCATAAGGAATAGCTGATTTATCTCATGGTTTTGTTACAGATTGTACTGAAATGAAATGGAAATAGTAGGTTTGGGATGTTTATTATCATGCTCATTATTTATAGGGTGAAAGTGGAGAGGCCACTGATGATGAAATGGCAACTCGGAAGGTAAAAAGCTGTAAGGAATATCGTAATAGAAGTGGTTCAGATCCTCAAGATATTGATGAACAAGAAGAACCAGGTAAATATATTGCTTCTGTACTTAAAAATTTATCAGGGTTTTTCCAAAAGCCTTTTTATGCAGACATTTTTTGCAGTGTTAAAAATAAACTTATAAAGTTACTTTTGCAGTTGAAACTCCAAATCTGTGAACTCTTGTTGTGGATTCTTACAAACGCTGAAATTAATTTCTCTAGTTGTTCATAATTGTTCTCTTATTTAGTTTCAGTAGCATTTCCCTTCTATTCAGATAAACTACATTCGTAAGTGTCGTTCAATACATACTTTTTAAACTGTTTTGGGACAAAACTAGAATCCTGCAAGTGTCTTACTGTGTTTTAATGAATTTTCATATAGTTCTCCTGGACAAAAGCATTTTTATTGGGTCAGATGTTGTAATTGTGATGAAAACTTTTGTTTTCTCCTTAGATCAAAATACTGTTATTAATTCTTCTCCATCTAACAACCTGCCATCAAGAAGAGCTCACTCTCTGACAGCATCTGGATCTCCCAACTTAGGAGCTACATCATCTTCACCAGCAAGACCAGTCTCCTCTCCTGTAATATCATCAAGCAAAAGTCAGTCTAGGTAAGGGCAAAATCCATTTGATTTAAAAACAAAAGAAGCTACTATTACTTATTTATTATCTAATGTAGGGTTTGTGCCCAGCTGGCAAAATCTGACAAAAACAGCACCAGAAATGTCATTAGCCTTTTCGTAGCCATCTAAAACACATTGTAGAAGAACACAAGACATTTAAGCTGAAATGCCATGAATCTGAGGATGGCTTTGTAGCAAGTCCCTGAACAGCATGTTTCAGTTTATAACTGTTACAGAAGCAGATTGGAATGCTGTTCCAAAACTACACAAATACAGAGTTTAACTCTTTCTGCAGATCTTCTCCAAAACAGAGTTATAGGCATTTTTGTATAGTGAAAATCAACAGAAATGTTATAGATGTGTGAACTGAAGTTCTGAGGTTTCTCACCACAAATTATTTCTACCTGAGGGAGTAATAACCTTTGCTGACATTCCTGGTGATGACTGTAGTACTCTCTTGGGAAATGGAGGAACTAATTTGGAGTCTTTCTCTTACAGGCCTCTTTTTCCTGAAAATTCATCCTTTTTGTGCCACTTAGGCAGTGTAAAAGGTTATGCTGTTGCAATATGTATATCATAGTGCACTATTATATTAATGCTATGGATACTAATGGCGATGGTAGTAGTAATTACAGTATTAATAATATGTCAGGGATGTGGACAGTACTTCATCACATACAAGAAGTCAGTCTCAGCAGAGGCTTTCCATTGCCTTTCTGGAGAAGGAATGCAGAAATATCATTATGAGTGTGAATCTTGGGGGTTCCAGGAGAGCAACAGTTAACAATGGAAGAGATTACTGCTGCTGATAGATCATTATATTTGTAGAGACATGTCTTGTACAATGGTTTCAGCTATGTATTTCTTGGGGATTGTATTTATGCTTTAAATAGTTGGATTTGGCAACAGGTGTGATTAGTAGAGTAACCTCTGAAAGTGTGGTTGGGCTAACACTGCTTTGTGAGCCTCTGTGTTCCTTTTATTTTTCACTGTCATTCACAAACTTGGATTTGTCTTGGTAAAAATTTTTTTTTTTAAGGGTCAGAACAGCTTTCTTTTACACTGAACTGAAGAAATACTGCTTTACAATCTCTGGAAAATTATTCTGTTTTGCAAATCTTCTTTTTGCTTTTATGCCAAAAGTTGTTTTCTCTAAATTAGATTAAAAGGTTCAATGGAGAACTCACATTCCCTGGAAAATGACAGCTCATGTTCCTTTAAATCGTCTCAGGCCTGGGTTTCTGCATGGATCTGTGTGTAGCTAAGCACTGTGGACCTCCCCCATTTGTCACAGATTTTCCCTGGCAAAGCTGTCTGGCACTTCCACAGCATCACTTTGCAGAGCAGTCCCAAGTTTGCTATGACCCTTCTTGATAGAACTTGCTCAGGACGTACTTCGTGGCTGTTTAATCTGTCCTGAAGGTGTCTTCCTCAAAACAGATTTACATGTTTGACCCATTATCTTGACCCAGTTTTCACACGCCATTAAGAAATTCGGAGCACTGGAGAGAGTTTTATTCTGAACATAAGGAGCTCGCAGCTTCTTTTGTCATTCCTACAAAGCAGATGGGCATCTGATGAATTTCCAAGTTCCTTGGAAATCTAGTGCTGCTTGTAAGGTGGAGGAAGCAGGAGGATGGTTGGTAAGATACTGGGACGTGGAGCACAGGATACAGAAAACTAGAGATGGGGGCTTTTTTGGGAAGGGGGAGTAAACCTCCTTGCTCAGCAGTCAATCCAGACTGCTACTAATTGCAGTTTTGGTTGTTGGTGATGGTGGAGTTTTCACGGAGGTTTTGGCTTTTTTTTTAAAACCTTTTGTTTTTATTGATTTCCCATTACTCTGGGAGATAACCTTTGGTGATCAGATTGGGTGAAATGGTGAGCATTTTCTTCTGCTCTTGGTCTCCCATTTGGTACTCTGCAGTTCCAATCTGTTTTCTGGAATCTAGAGACTTTCCTCATCATGGTTTATTTTTCCTGTCTTATAAAAATGCTGGGAATTATTTTAGCTAAAAAAGTTTTATGCAGTATGTCAGTACTTTCCATAGTGATGTCAAACAAAACCAATATTTTCAACTAAAGTAGATGGTATTTTTTAATACTTCAAAATCACATTTTGCTTTCAATTGCCTGCATCCATCCCATGCCAGGAGTAAACTCAGGAATCTGGTCCAGCCTATTTGTGTAGAAAGTCACCTGCTTGCAGGCATGTCTTTAGGAATAGTGGACAACAAGCTGGTCCTGTTTTTCCATCACAACTGTCTGAACTATGTGTACTGAGCCTGATGGCAAAATTCGTAGAAGAACGATCTGCATATTTGAACATTAGAGAGTAATAAATTCTGACGTGTTCTGATATTTTGAAGGAAATACTGTAACTTGTGCAGTTAATTATGGTTCAAGCTAGATAGTTCTTGATATTTGTGTGGTTGCTTAGATCCTGCCTTTTTCAGAATTGATTGCTGGCAGATCCCATTTCTGCAATGTGTGTTCATTGGTATTTAGGCCCCAGAAGGTGCTCAAGATCTCAGCCCCTCATTGCAAGTTACTCCATGCAGTTCACTAAGGTCTTGTTCATACTGCTCAAGTAAGGCCTAACTGTACTTGCTGCTGTAAATCCCCTAGAAGCCTAAAGATTTTGGGATGTGACTTTTGGAAATGTGTTGGTTCTACTTAAAAAATGTTGTTCAGCTGCACAATTTAGATTAATGATTGCCGTTACAGAACAATCTGTTTTATTATTTTGTCTTCAATGAACCTTATACAGAGTCTTCATTACAAGAATACTGGCATTGTTTTCTTTAAAGGGAAAATAAGTACTTTCTTTTGTGCCATGTGCATCAGGCCTTTTTCCACATGAAAGTTTTAAATTGCATAATATGCATCATTCATTCTGATAAAGTTTGCAGTTGTCTTGAAGAAAAAAAATAGCTGTTATAAACCAAGAAGGTAAAAAACATCATTATGCATCTTTTAAGATGGTGCTTTATTTGCTTCTTCCAGATATTGGTAATAAATGCATTAAGGAGAGCACAAATAAACTGTTAATACACTAATGCATAATATTTCAGTTAAATATAAGTTGAATGTAACCGAACTACAGCAGTCTTTTTTTCATTTAGCACATGGAGCAGCAGTAGCTGGCATGGCCGTGTCAAAGGAGGAATGAAGGGATTTCAGAACTTCATGGTGTCTGATAGTAGCATGACCTTTGTGGAATTTGTAGAGCTCTTCAAATCTTTCAGGTAAAAGATTTTTATTTTCTGTACTAATTTCATTCATCCAAGTTTATAAAAGAGCAAAAACTGAGTTTTTCTGCTCTTTTTGCAGTGTCCGGAGCCGCAAGGATCTGAAAGACCTTTTTGATGTTTACGCTGTGCCTTGCAATCGATCTGGCTTAGAGCCTGCTCCACTTTATACTAATTTGAAGATTGATGAAAATAGCAGTGGATTCCAACCTGATCTAGGTTTGTTAATGAGAAAAATGCAATTGTTAGACTGCTGAGCAGCTTCAGTTATTTGCCTTAATAAAATGTGTCTCAGTCAGGCTCCTTGTCAGTTACAAGTTTAAGTAGAGGACTGCTGCCATGCCTGCCCTAATACCTAGTTAGTGGGATAGAAGACAAAAATAAAGGGAAGGAAAAGTATTCCAGCTTTCCATTAGCCAGATATATTTGTAACTGGTAATAGCAGAGGAATAAAGCTTGTTGCTGAATGGCTGAGCCCAAGGATCTGTTCAGGTTGCAAGAGCCCTGAAAGGGCTAAAACACTGAGCAAACATAGGGAGGAGAAATGAGAAGGCTGTGCCCTGTGTCCCATGTGGCTGGTTTTTTTCTTATCTGCTTTCCTAGTGGATCTGTTTTATGTGGGATAAAGGGGAAGGAAGCCTCTGTCCCCCTTTACATTCCTCAGTTACCATAATCTGTCTGGGACTTTGGCCACATGTAAAGAAAATAATCTTTCTGCCAAGCAGCTTGTGGGGAGGGTGCAGAACAATTGGCATATGAAACTGGAAGAAGATAAAGGGCAATTGAACAGGAAGGGTGTGGAGTTGCACACAGTGGAGGAAGGCTTTGAGGCTGTTTGTGGTGGTGAGAGGGAGCAGGAGAGTCCTGGGATCCTTGTTAAAGGTTTCAGGATTTTGTTCAGAGTAATTGGACACTTGTAGTCTGCTCACATGCATGCTTAATGCTCTCTCTTTTATCAGTGGTAGAAACAGGATGATTTTGTTCTAATTTACTGCTAAAACACCCATTGAGATACTTGTGTGTATTGTATACTAGATTATATTTTATACAGGATATGTAATACACATAATTGTTTAGCTTATATTTTTATTTCCTCATTTTTCTTTTAAGATTTATTGACTAGAAATGTTTCAGACCTTGGTTTGTTCATTAAGAGCAGGCAGCAGCTATCAGACAACCAGAGGCAAATATCTGATGCTATTGCTGCTGCCAGCATTGTAACCAATGGTACTGGAGTTGAAAGCACATCACTGGGAGTATTTGGAGTAGGAATCCAGCAGCTGAACGACTTCCTAGTGAATTGCCAAGGAGAACACTGCACCTATGATGAAATCCTCAGTATTATCCAGGTCTGTAATACAAATATCTTGCATTTCCTTTTTATTAGAACTCCTGTTACTTCCATTTTATTTTCCCCATTACGTTGTGTATTGTTCAGAATAGCATCAGTGTGGGTATCTCCTTTCACACTGATATTGTCTCCATGGTTTACTTGAATTTAAAATTTAATACTATCTTTATTTTGGGCCAGAAAATTGTATGGATGTCCATAAATATATCCATTTAAAAATGCAAATAAGTAGTTTTATTAGCAATGTGTACTTTAGCAGGGAAGGGATGTCACCGCCTAGGAAAAGTGTTCATGAAAACGCTTTTATTTTTTCTTTGTCTGGGACCACATTTGATTGAGCATAATCTTACTTTGCAACTTTAAAAAGCACCATTTCCACATATTTTTGTTTTATTGTAAAAAAATTTTCCAGAGCAAACATGGTGCCATTTTATTCCCTTATGTACCATGGCTGAAGATTTTAGAAAATGTGTAGAAAAATTTTTATTCTTCCAAATTCCTCCATGCATAATTAATATACTCCAAAACTAAGCCCCTGTTTAACAGTTAACGAAGGCTAAAGCTATCTATAAGTATCAACATGTAAGATAGAATTGCAGAGTTTAAAAGACAGAAGTTCTAAAGAAAGTTCAAGTTGGAATACCACAACTCATGTTGAGTTGGTGGTATGTTGTATTTAAGCATACTAGATAGGAGTAGGACACCTGATCATAAATCTTTCTTAATTTCAATTTAACTTCTGTCTCAGCTTTGGAGAGGAGGTTGGATTAGGCAATCTACCAACATCCCTTTCAGCCTGAATTGTTCCTTGATTTATGATTATGATTTTAGTATGTTTGTGTAGTCATTTGTGAAACACAGTTTGCAGGCACCTGATTACTTTATCCACAAAAAGACTGTGTTTAAATACTAAATGTTTAGTGCTATGAGCAGACTACATATCAAAACATGACAAAGACATGTTTCTAAGAATTGTTATTATATATATCTTTGATTTCTTCCTTCTCATAGAAATTTGAACCTAGTGTAAACATGTGCCAGCAGGGGCTGCTATCTTTTGAAGGATTTGCAAGGTAATTACTTCTTACATTCTTATATATAATATATGTTTGTATATATATGTAAAAAGATGATACCAGTGTGTTGATGTTTCTCGGAGAGTCACAAAATGCTCATCACAGCATAAAATTTCCTCACATATTCTCACTTCCAGATTTTTGATGGATAAAGACAATTTTGCCTCCAAAAATGATGAATCACAGGAGAATGCTGAGGACTTGCACTTTCCTCTCTCATATTACTACATAGAATCCTCACACAATACTTACCTTACTGGCCATCAGCTTAAAGGGGAGTCCTCAGTGGAGCTCTACAGCCAGGTATGCAGGATTGGATTGTTGTGTAGCTTTCAACATGAACTTGTTTGTTTTACTGGCAAGTTTCAGGAACATGACCTTTTTGCTTTGAAAATCTAAATGTCCTAAACCCCTGCTTGCAAAATGTTGGAAAACATGATGTGTGGGAAAGCTGCCTTGTAAGCACAGTTGTGCTCAAATGCCTTTTCTAAAACAAAAAAATGGGTTTAGTTTGAGATTCATAGCATTTAGACACCAGTCGGTCTGACCCAACCTACTAAAATTAGACTTTCCCACAGGAAAGACTGATCTAATATTTTAGTTCATTCAGATGTCAGAAACACTACTGAGATACTGTACATTGCACTGCAAAGACTAATTTCAAATAGAACTTTAACTTCTAAAAATGTTACTTCTAGGAATATTCTACAGGTTTTAAATTTTATGGCTGATTTGTGCTGACCAGGGAAGGAACAATTTCTCCCTTAGGCTTTCAATTCTGTATTTGTTTGTGCATATATATATGTGTGTGTGTGTGTTTTTGTGTGTGTGTGTTTCTGTGTTTACAAATGCTGGAGAAAGCATCAAACTTCCTGGCAGCATTGTTTTCATTATGCTGAGAGTTAATGACTCATCACTGAGAATGGACTCATCTGCTGTCCCATGTGCTCCTTCACCTGGGCTTGTAGGCATGTGTTAGGAAATCCTGAATAACGTGAATGCACTGAGTAATGCAATTGCAGAGGTTCCTGTCTAGCACTGCACAGTGATCTTAGTATTGTGTTGGTAATAGATGGGAAGTGAGATAGAGATCAACTGCCTTCAAAGTTTGCATGATTAAGAAAAGCTTCTTCCTTTCCCTCAAGTGCTTGTTGCCAGCTGAAGGGGCACTTTGTCCTGGTTCAGTGTGTCTGGATCTCGCAGAAGTGGTGGAGTGCCAGCTATGGACACAGCTGTCTGAATAAAAGTATTCAGGTTTTGAGTAGAAGTAATTTTTTATTTGTTCATGAATGGTTTTGCTGGAAATGGTTTTGACTTTTAGGATCTTTCTATTCAATGAAATATTAGCTTGTAGTACAGATGACAGGCATGCTAAATAATGATCACAATAATAAGCTGGGCTACCAAAAGATGGGATAGCTCATCTCTTCCTTCATCCTTCCTCTTTGCTTCTTTGGTTTTTCTAGCAATGGCTTTCTAAAATAAATAAATAAATGAATAATTTAAAAATTGATGAATTAATTGATGGCTGTAAATAGCTTAATAGAATTGATTAACATGGCATAGCACATTTCCATTGTAACTATACTCAAAGTTGTGTTTCTTAAGACTTTGTTTTCAGACTATCTTTTATTTATAAAACTAATAATAACAAAAAAACTAGCAAACAAACTGTAGGTGCTTTCCCCATAAGCTGTCATGGGAGCTACCTGAAATAAATTGCCATGTTGCTTTATAGCTGTTTTTGAAGGTAGAAACATGGGAATGTTCCTCTCTCTCTCAGAAAATTAAGCCATACAATAAGAACCACCGCTGCAAGCAGATGCCATGTGTCCTGTATGATACCATGAATTTCAAAGCTTTATGGTAATTCTCCCAAGAGCATACATGCTTTGCTTAATTTTTCCAGTCTTTTTCAATGGGAAATAAGGAATTCAGTTAGGGAATGAAGTTAGCTGGGGACTGTACATTCCATGGGCTGTTCACTTCACAGAGATTGCTCTTTCCAGCAATTTTGCTGATTCACTGGGCTTTCATTCAGCTCTGCAATGTCTGTCTTCTGCTTTGATGGCATGGTACTGTAGCTTAGATGTGCTTACACTGTTCAATTGCATTATAGGTTCTTTTACAAGGCTGCAGAAGTGTAGAATTGGACTGCTGGGATGGTGATGATGGGATGCCTATTATTTATCATGGGCACACTCTTACTACAAAGATATCTTTTAAGGTATGCTGGTAATTGGACATAGAAACAAAAAAATTAGAATTTTTTTTTTTTCTGTAATGAATGGGGAAAAAATTGCCTACTAGAAAAATACAAGTTTTCTAATGGGCTAAATTCTAATAGAATATAAGCTATAGATTATGTCAGACATTAAATTCTCAGCGGTAAATATGCTTTCAAGTTAGTTTTTGTAGCATATGTAGTGTCAGTTTCTGTCTTTTTGTTGGTACCTAAGTAACAAAAGTAGGCGTTACCACTTGTGTTGTAACAAGATGCCAGCTTGCTTTGAAAGCACAGAGTGGCCTCTTCCTTCTTACAGAGGAAAGCAGATGTCTCCCTGTTGCTCTGATTTCTTAAGTTTTTCTAAGCCTTCTGATATTTACATTCTTGTAATGAACTTTCTCACACACTTTATGTAAATAATTTATTGTTTTGCATTCTTTTATGGAAGAGGAGAGATTTGATGGACTGTTGGTTTGTCCAGTGTCATTGGAGAGGTGGCACTTTCGCCCTCCAATCCACTGTCACTTTTGGAAATACATAAATGTTAGGACATGTTGTTTCATGTTCTGTAGTGACATCTCCCCTCCCAGCTAGCAGTAGGTTAACAGAGAGCTGCAGAATGCTGCCATGTCCTTTCAATGGCCTCTCTGTCTGTGGCAGGAGGTGGTGGAAGCCATCGACCGCAACGCGTTCATCACCTCGGACATGCCGGTCATCATCTCCATAGAGAACCACTGCTCGCTGCCCCAGCAGCGCAAGATGGCCGAGATCTTCAAGGTAGGCTGTCCACCACCATCAGGCCTTCCAAGCACGAGCCCTGGGCTTTTCCATAATACATCACCTCTTCTTGATATTGCAGAATGTATTTGGAGATAAGTTGGTGACGAAGTTTTTGTTTGAGAGTGACTTTTCTGATGATCCCATGCTGCCTTCCCCTGGCCAGCTGAGAAGAAAAATCCTGCTTAAAAACAAGAAGCTGAAAGCCCATCAAACACCAGTGGATATATTGAAACAAAAGGTATAGTCCTTTCTTAAGAGCAAGCAGCAAGACCCAGCTCTTGTTAGAAATAGTTCATTTGTGTTTGAGATATTTGCTAATTCCAATGTACAGCAGAATAATCTAATGCACATTCATGCTTGAATAACTTACAGTGGATTGCAGTGCTGTCAAATAAGTAGACAACACATATAGTAAATTATAGCTACAGCTTAAGTTAATTTTAGTGTCTTTTAATTTTATAAAACTTCATAATATTATGATTAACACCACATGCTCTTCGTGACAAACATAAATTAATCCTTTTCTCTGTGGTTTTAACATTTACTACTCATGTTTATTGAAAAATAGTCATATGCATTGAGTATGTGTGTGTATTTACAGTATGTAGTAATTTTTGGTAGAGTTCTGCTTTGTTTCTTTTTTCAAATTTAGGCCAGTCAAATACTCAAATTTTTTTGTTGACTTTTTGTGGGAGACTTTGCTACTCAAATAGTGTTTATTCCCATGAGAGATTTTTTTTGATTTCTAAAATTTAGGGCTGCATCTCAAGTAGCCTCAATCTAATAATGTCTATGGTTAGTCAGCAGTTCAGTTGAATCCTTGAAAACTAATTGCCATTACTCAAAATGTAAACACAATTGCATTAGACTTAAATTATTGTTATCAGATGAGTAAATCACACTGATCATACCAGTACATGGATAATTACCATCTTTTGAAAAAGTATTTAACTGTTTCTGAAACAGCGTATCTCAGGCTGGGAAAAGGCCGTTTTGAATGATGTGCAGTTTTGGCATTTTTCCATAATTAATTAGGTTTCATATCTTAATAAGTGTTTTTCTTGCAATACAAGTTCTCTTTATGTTCAAACCCCTACATTGTTATTTTATCATAATCTTAACAATCTTAGTTATTTATCACTTAATATATTCAGTGCTTTCATGGAAACAAAACAAGATACAAACATGAAAACTCTTTTTCTCTTTATAAGTGCTTAGCAGTGATGTAGTAAGTGTTTCTGTTGTAGGCTCACCAGCTGGCACATTTGCAAGCACAGGCTAGCAACGGTGCTAGCAACCCCACACCTACCAATGAAGAGGAAGAAGATGAAGAGGATGAATATGACTATGACTATGAATCTCTCTCTGATGGTAACTATATATATTTCTTTGCTTGCTTGTTACAGTGCTTTTGTTAGAACTGTAGTAATAAGACATGAATATTCTAGCTCAGGCATGAGCTGGGTAAGCAGTGTCCTTGCATGAGTCTGAAAAGGCTGGAATTCTTCAGCTGGTAGAGAAGAGGACTGAGGGGTGAGTTGGAACAGATTCACTAAGTCATGAAGTGGTGGATTAAGGGAAGCACAGAATGTTACTTGTTAGATCTAACAGGTGCTCAGTAAAACAAGTGGAAGATCAGTCTAAAACAGGTAAAATATTTGTTTGTGCAGCTGGTAGTAAACTTCTGGAATGTGCTGCCATGGAAAATTGCAGAGCCAAATGGCATCAGCATATTTAAAAACGGGTTGGACAAATTCATGAAGAGATGTATAAGCAGTTGTTATTGGTAGCACTATTTGGTCCAACATCCCTATCATTCAGTGATTGTGGTTGCTGGGGTGGTGATTAGTGGCTGGTTGCTCTGTTGCCACTATCAGAAAGAGAATACTGGCCTAGATGGACAACTGGTCTGACACAGCTGAGGACGTTCTCCTGAGAGAGCAGTGAAGTGCTTCACTCCCTGCACTTTTCATTCTGGTGGGGACCCATTTAGGTTCTAGGTGCCATGTTGAGAGATGTAAGGCTCCAGCATGTCCTGCAGCACAGGACTTCTTTCCAGGTGGTTCTTGTTTACATTACTTGCTCCTGTGTTTAGTGATTTTAAAAATAGTCACAAAATTAACAAATGCAGTTCAAGACTTGACACTGCTTGTGGAATAGTAGTGTTATTTATGAGTTTGATATCAATGCTGCCTTTAGTTGCATTTTGCCTGAAAGTTGGCCTAGCTGGCTACTTGAGCATACTTTTTGTGAGGAACAGGGTAGAGACGCTGTAGATGTAAATTGCAGTGAAAACTCAAATCTTTGCTAACAGATTTGCCAAGAAAATTTTGCAAACTGGTTGCAGTAAGTGACTTTTTAGCTCTGTTCTAGTTAAGAGAAGGTTTGAAAAATCTGAAGCTAGTAAGAAACACACCTTCCAGTATGTGAAGGAATCTGCAGCATGGTTTACTACTTTATTACAATGGTTATTCTTTGAAGTCTTTAATTATCTTAATATTTTGTTAAAACTAATCTAAATAATGGCCTGTAAACTTTCTAAAAGAGATTCAGATTTATTTTTCTTACCAATACATTTTTTTGTATAAGGCTAATATTTTTACAACTGACACTTACTTTTCATTTCTCTGACTCTAAATCTTAATTCCCTTTACTCTTATTCCCTCTCTGACTCGTTTCCCTATAGCTGATGTCCTTAATGCTTCTCCTGCTCCTAACAGCCAGGAAGGTAAAAGCCACTTGGTTGAGCATTTTAACTGCATGAAATCAGCACTGCATCTTCAGCCTGTTCGATGTGACAGTGTGAATGTATAGTTTCTACTTCATATTATAAATGCAAGCAGATATTCTTGTATGGCATTGTTAACTGGGCAGGAACTGTTAGAAGCCTGCATGTGTGACACTTGTTATGCTTAAAAAGAATATGGTCAAAGCATCAGGATTATCAGGAATAAATTGAAACCATTCCTTTTGTGACAACTGCAACATTTTGGTCCAGAAAGACCACATCATTATTAGGCATACTGTTCTCTGAAAAATATGTAGCTTCGAAGAGATATTTCTACGGATGTAAAAAATATTTGTGCATGGTGAAAGTAAGAAGAGGAAAGCCAAAAATTGCTGTACAAAATGTGTACATATTTCATGGGATTAATTGTGCTTGATCTTTGGCATTTTTTTGTCATTCAGGAATGTCAGTTGTTTTCAGATAGCAAACTTAATTCATTAGATGGTTTGGTTTTAAAGATCTTCTGAGCACAAAAGGATGGGCTTTAAAGGAAAGACTGTGTCTTAACCAAATCCAGGCATTAAATTTTTTAATAGTAGGTTACTACTACAGGATGATGCTCTGACCAGTAAATGCATTATTTTAGCATCTAATTATTCGTATAAGATTCACAACACTGTCCACAAGTATTGTTAATTCAAATTAAATTTCCATTTGATATTGTTTGGCTTTATGTTTATTAAAATCCCGTTAATTTTTAGATAATATTCTTGAAGATCGACCTGAGAATAAATTATCAAGTGATAAACTGCAGTTTGAATATAATGAAGAGACTGCAAAACGACTAAAGAAGGCTGATTGTGCTACTTACAATAATAAAGGAAAGGTAGTTCTGCTTTTTCCCTCTTTCTTCTCAGCTGCACTTTTATATATAACCAGGTTTAAACAATTTAGGTAACTGAGACATCAGATAGCAAATGCACTTTAATGAAGAGAAACAATAGGAAGCATGGAAAGACACCAGAGAAAATAGCCAAAGTAGGACAAATGCTCAACATACTGTTCAAGAGAAGTCCTCACATATTATAGTATATATATATAGGCTGCTTGGCTGAAAATTAATATTGATGGAACTGAAGATTTCATCTGAATCTTCAGCATCTTTATGCTTCAAAATAGTTTAAAATACTGCACTAAAATATCAGATAATCAAGCATCTCTTATTAAATCATCTGAAAAAGGAACCAGTGTATTGCTGTTTACTGTATTGTAGATTCTTCTCAACATGGATGTGTTTCATCTAAATGTTTGTAGAACTGACTGAATAAGGCCTTTACACATTCCTGCAGAATCAGTAACAGGTATTGATCAGAAATGTGCACGTGGGCTAGAGATTTGTTAGGTGAGAACAGAAATCATACAGGAAGAAAGAGATGAAATATTTCAAAGACATAAATAAGATATGCAAGAGTTCTTCTACATTCAGTAATATTATTAAATATTCTTGGTGTTATCACTCAGGTTTACGACATGGAGCTGGGTGAAGAATTCTATCTTCCACAGAATAAGAAGGAAAGCAGACAAATAGCTCCAGAGCTATCAGATCTTGTCATTTACTGTCAAGCTGTAAAGTTCCCGGGTAAGTGTACTGCCCTGTTTTATTGCTTTAAGCTTTCTAATTCCTGGAGACATAATGTTTATGTTTTGAGTTAGTTTGAAGTAGTCGAGGAGGTTCGTTCTTCATGATTTGGTAGTCTCCATAATAGCAGCTCCTGGCTGAGAAGTAGTGTTCATAAATTATGTGAATACATACTGTTTGTCATATTAAAATGTTTACAAAAGTGAAATTTGCCAGTCTTCACAACTTAGACAACTGCTTCACTGCCAAATGCCAGATGACAGAAAGCTTTATCTTAAGAGCTCTGAGTTTCCATGTAAGGACCTACTGAATTAAGAAGGAAAATACTCTTAAGACCTTGAAGGTGGAGTGTGTCACATTTCTTTAAGTGACCTTTGTTTAGTGTGTTCACCTTTGCCTATAGCTGCATTTTCTGTTCTTTCCCAAGTGGAGAGGGGAGGAGCCATTGCAAGGTAAATTGCACCTTTTCATAGGTGGGTGAGGGCAGCTGCTTGCACGCTCTCCCTCAGTCTTCATGGAAGCAGTTATGTTCCTTCTGTACAGTAGGAAGAATAACTTTTGCAGAGAAAAAGAGAGGGAGTTACTGAAGAGATCACTAACAGGCACTTGTTCAGTACTGAAATATGAGGTTGGGTATATTTTGGCTCATACTATGTACATAAATACTTTTAAATTGAGAATTTATTGTTTATTGATATGTTTAATGTTTTGAATGAAAAATCTGTTCTTTAGTGGAATGGTTCTCTGTGGAAAAGTTAGCAGTTCTGCCAAGTCATGATCTTACACAAACAGAACTATAATCAGATTAGAGAAGCTAACCAAACATAAAATAGTGTCAAATAGGCAAGATAAACATGCTGAAAAATGGACAGACATTCTTTTATAATCTTTTATAACTTTAAAAATTGTAGGTGTCACTTGTAAAAATAATGACTTCTAAATATCCAAATCTGATACTCTTTTTAAAATGAAATCTGCAAAGAGATATCTTTCAAGTAAAATATTTTCTTTTAAAGAAAGGTATTCAAGATTAAATGGGGATAGTTTGGGTTATTCCAAGCATTTTGACACATAAAAATTTCTGATGGTCTAAGAAAAGTTAGAAGTATTTAATTTTTAATGTAATACTGGTTATTAAAGAAATACCTTGTTTCCTTCTCAGATTTTTTCCTCTTGCTTTAAAGGGATGATGAACAGAACAATTAAGAATATTATCTCCTTTCACAGATGAACACATAATGCTGTAGAAATTACTTTTCCAACAAACGTTGTCTCCTTTGAGACAAATACTGCCTCCTCTGAGGGAATGTAGGCTTGCATGGCCACCATGCCACTGCCTGGGTTCCTCTGCTCAGCTGGAGGGCACAGAGGTGGTGCAGTGCCCTGCCCAGTATTGCCCATGAATGATGAACAAGGCTGCTAGATCCATGGCTGTGCAGCTCTAGTGCCCGTGTTCCTAACCAGCTCAGAAAATGCAGGAGTTTTGGAAATAGGGAGGGTAGAATTCATGCCAGTGTCTGATCAATGGTGCAAATACTTTATTTCTTCTGTCTTCATAGAATTTTGTTCTGTGTTTACACTTGCCTGCATCCCTGAATGTTAATCACTGATTTGTGACTATAAAAAAGGACCAAAATGTTCACTTACCCTAACCTACTGGGTAACACAGACTTCCCTAAGTGTTCCCTGGTCAAAACAGAATTTGTCATGTGGAGAAAATAACGTTTCTTGTTTATAAAACCTCTGGTAACAAGGAACCCACCATGCCTCTTGTTGCTTCTGTGCTCTTTGACCTTGCAGTCCTTGCTTAACTTGAATTCCAGTATGCTGCATATCATTGCACCATTATCTGCAAGGCTGGAGGTCTGTTCTCTTGGGTCACCCAAGCTGAGGGCAGTGGAGCACCCCTGAGCGCTGCTGCTGGCACATGGCTCGTCACCTTGGTGCTGAGATCCTTACACAATGAGTAGAGAAACTGAGGGCATAAGAGCAGGATTTGCACACTCAAGTGGAGAGAGCAGGGAGCCACCTGCGCTCACCAGCATGAAATTGTCGCCATCTTCATCATATCAGATTATCTGCCCCTATGGTATCACTTCACGAGAAATTAAAGTGAACATGAAAAGGGGCACCCTGCATATAAAAATGCTGTAAATTCCCTTCTAAGGTCTGCAAACCTGCAGACTTTCTGTTGGTCAGAAACACATGGTGAGAAGGTGGCGGCAATTGCAGTTTAACCTTTTAGTTAGTATGGTGAGAGGGAGAAGGGCAGGGAAGCTTGCAATCCTCTGGATTAAGTCCAGAAGCAGAAAGCACTGTGCTTATATCTAACACATGAGATGGGCACTAAATTCTGTGACTCGAAGAATATGGCACTGGGATTCTAAGGAAGCACAAAACATTTACTCTGACACTGTGGTAGTACAATAGGACTTATGTACAGTATGGTGGGATCTGAGCTGATCCTACTTTGACCAGAGAGTTGGACCAGATGATGGTCCAACTCTCTGGTCAAAGTAGGATCAATAATAGATGTCAACCGCTATTATTTTGTAATTTGATGATTCTCTGAATTGGTAAAGCTTTATTTTGAAGTCAAGTTTAAATTGGAGTGAAAGATGGAGCTTGTCTGTGGGAAGAGATGTGTAACATGCAAAGCATGGCAGGGACTGAAAGGAAGCTGCCAGCTGCAGTGTGCCCCGTGGCCATCACGCTGGGTTGTCAGCCCTAGGGCTCTGCACTGCACTCTGTGATTTATGAGGTTAGTTTGTTTCCTCAGTGACTGTCTCCACAACAGGACTTTGAAACTGGATCTTACTTGCCAAATCCATTTGATCCATTGAAAACTGGGTTTAAATAGTGCTGGAAGCACACAGTGCATGGCTCCTCATTCTTCTAGTCAATTCATATTCCTTGATCCCAGTTTCTACCATCTTCTGTGGTTTATGTGTATGCTTTGGCCCAAAGAGACAATACATCTCCAACGTGGAAAACATTTATGTATGTTCTGAGTTTTACTAACCCAAGCAGCTCCATTGAAACTGTGTGCATAATTTTAGTAAGTACATGTACACATGCCATGAAGATTGAGAGCTGAAAATTTGCAGCTGTGGGCAGACTTCAATCACAAGAGGCCAATGCATCCTCTTTGTGATTTGCATTTGTATTTGAAATATTAGTATTAAATCCAGAACTGTCTTTAGGCAGGTGTGAATTGATGTGAATTAATGTGGAAAGTTTTAGGAGTCACAGTTAGGCACATAACACTGTATTTGCTTTGTTACATTCTACATCACAAATACATCTTGGGTTTCTGAGAGCATCCCACATCTCACTGCTGTGGGTGTCAGAATAATTATTGTGCACTTTACTTTTGATCTGCTTTGTGCTCTCTCCAAGCCAACCAAAAGAAATTGACCTTAAGTGGGATTAAGTCTGTTTATTTCACCAGGATTCAGGTCATGACTTTTAATAATTATGTTTCTAGAATGCACAAGTATGAATAATAGCTATACTAGAGCTTTCCAGCTCCACTCCTAGTATGTATTGGCCATTAAATATGTAATGGATTTTGCACACCTGACTGTTTACCAACACTGTAATACAAATAAACAGAAGAAGAGGACTCTGAAAACATTTTTGAAGTTAAACTGTTTAACCAACAGCATTTGGACATATAATATTTATTATATTATATCTTTAAATCATAATCTTGCATTTATTTAATTATGTAGGTATCACAATGTAGATTAATTCCATGATATTCACTACTGTGCAGATTTATGGCTTCTGTAGATTTTTTAAAATTACTCCTAGGATGAATACATTGGGACTGTTACTGCAGATTTTTTTAGTATCAGTTTAGACCATTTAGTGATTTGAGAGAAAGCCTTTACCTTCTTCAAGCCAAAAAGTAAAATGGAGAAAAGTTATATCACAAAGAGAGAACTGTATATTGTATTGTTTCATATGGGTTTCTATATACATTATATAAATGCATACATATATGCACTATATATAAAACCATACATAATATATACATATATAAAAGTGTGTATATATTTAAAGATGTTAAAATTAAATTGTGGAGAAAAATACACTGCTTGTCCTGTGTGCTATATAACAGGAGTATTCATGCCTTCAAAAATAATGTAAAATATGGTGGAAAATGTCATGCCCTCTTGGTCATGTTTTTTGGCTCATTTATTTTACGTTTATGGGAACAGGCTTGTCAACTCTAAACCCATCTGGCTCTAACAGAGGAAAAGAAAGAAAAAGCAGGAAGTCCATTTTTGGCAACAATCCTGGCAGGCTGAGCCCTGGGGAGTCAGCTGCTCTTGCCAAAGCATCTGGAAAAGGTAAAGTTAGCATCTTCTTTCACCAGTCACGTGGAATGACACTGTAATCCAACACATGTACCAGACCAAGACCATTTGTCAAAGATCAAATACTTTGCAATGTGTAAAACGTTAAACTTTGGAATGGTTTTCGTTAGCACAGCAGCTATTACAGTACCACTATTACCACTGAAGTGGTGAGTGTGGAATATTAGGATTACTTGATCAGACATATGATGACCCTAATTCATAAACAGTTCAAAGCTAATGTACATTTTAAGTGTTTTAAAGTTTATATTTTTTAATATATAAGTGAACATTTTCAAAGTACAAATGAAAGCCAGGACTGTTGGGCTGGTCCAGAAAAGAATTTTTATTGTCTGAAGTAGAACTCAGCAGCCTGAAATTCAGCCAAGTCCAAATGCATAATTGTGCAAATTAGACTCTGCAGGTGATTCAGTTTGTGAACCTGGAAATTGTGTCTCTGCCTGTGAACAGATGTAAAGAAATACAGAGAAAGTACAGGAAAGCTTCTGGAGCAGGAATAAGGCCCTGCCTTTCAAGTGATTGCCATAAGGAGATGTTTTGAACTCATTTTCTAGCCCAGAGAGGGCTGTATTTCTTGCAGCCCAAGGGTATGACTGCAGCAGACAGGATAGATTTCCTTCTAGAGGCCAGTGTCCCAAAAGTGAAGAAGTGTGGTGCCTAATTCTAAAGCATATTAGTATTTTGTTGCCTTTTCCCCCTAACTTTTGCAGTCTCTGTAGACTGTCTGTCTGAAAAATTAGCACATGGCTTTCAGTCTTGCCTCTCTTCCTCCTGTGAAATGTATAAATGAGAAGAAGGGAATTTTATTCCTTAATTTATTCAGGCAAATGCCAATTAGATATATATTTATGAAAGTGCTTGTTAGCACATCTAATCATGGTATTATTTCAATACTGGGACATTGTGTTTCCTCTCATGGATTGTCTTACTGTGTGAGAAGGACTGTGACACTTGCCCTGAGTAGTGCCATTTTCCAGGATCACCTTTTTCTGCCATAACCAAAGCACACATATGTCCTCCACTAGAAAGCATTGCATTTTTGGAGCCTCTGGGCCTGCAGCTGTACCTTGAGGGCACCGTTTATTTTCCAGGTCCTTTTGATGCGATGCGCCAGACCTGGGAAGATCCTTGCTCTCCTTACAGCTCTCCAGCCTCCCTCAGTGCCATCATAAGGACTCCCAAGTGCTACCACATCTCGTCGCTGAACGAGAACGCTGCCAAGCGCCTCTGCAGGCGCTATTCCCAGAAGCTGATCCAGCACACCACCTGCCAGCTCCTGAGGACCTACCCCGCTGCCACGCGCATCGACTCCTCCAATCCCCACCCGCTGATCTTCTGGCTCCACGGGGTGCAGCTCGTGGCTCTGAACTACCAAACAGACGGTAAGGCTACACAAACCCACGTTTGGAAATGTGATAGGAGGTCTCAAGTCGTGAATTTGTATTTTCCCTGTTTACTTTTCCCTGCTCTCCCAAGGGGACCTTCCTGTACCTGCCCCCCAGCCACAAGCAGGTTCATCCCACAACAGTCTGGTCCTTGAGAGCAGTGACCTCAGAGTCTGGGAGCTTTATGCCAATGCACCAGGTTCCCTGATGGGGAAGAGGTTCCTGGACAGCAACGCTTCCATTTTTATATTCATTTTATTGCTGAAGGTTGGTTTTTTTTTCTCCCAGTTCAAGTAACTGTTATCTCTTTCTGATAATTTCAAGCATAAAAAGGTACTGAACTATTTTTCACTTGGAAGCGCTACCTTGAATGCTGGTTTAATGTTGATCAAAACATATATTGAATATTTGCTATCCTATCTTGTATTCCTTCACATTTTCCATGGGGGATCCATTAGGTCATCAACAGTGCTCTTTCATTATGCAGTTCAGGGCACGTTCCTAGAAACTTCCCAGAGATCTGTTGTTGGGAAGCCCTACAGCTCAATAAAGGCAATGGAAAGGAAAAGAATGAACTGTTCTTAGAGTTTTGTGTAATTACTGGATAGATTGGACACATAAATCATAGATAGTTCTGAAAACCAGGAATAGTACATAACTAAATTGATTTTTAAAAAGATACTTCAAACATGACTGTGTCTTCACTGTTACAGTTTTTCCATTGTACCATTGCTCTCTGTCAGTTTTGGCTGCCTTAATTTCACAGATCTTCCACTGCAACTCAACGCAGCAATGTTTGAGGCCAACGGTGGCTGTGGATATGTCCTGAAACCCCCAGTTCTGTGGGATAAAAACTGCTCAATGTACCAGCATTTTTGTCCATTGGAAAGAGACCTTGATAATAAGGAGCCAGCTATATATTCTTTAACAGTAAGTACATGAAAAGGGAATTTCATACAGGCAAACAGATAGAAGTAGACAATATGCAACTGCAGTCTTTAACCAGCATTACAGTCACACTTCTAAATGAAAAGATTGAATCTTTAAATGTTCCTTCCAAAGGTCAGCCTAACTAACAGAAACTGGAGAGGAAAGGATCAAAGATTTGTCTTTATGTCATTGTATTGGCTGATTTGTATCCGTAGTTACTTCCCTTGTTTCCTTCACAGTATTTGTTGAAACTCAGTCCTGAAAGCATTTTCCCTGGGACTATACAATTCTGTAAAATTACAAATGTTCTTTGATGTTCTACACATTTGTGAATACTTGAAAAGCTGCACAAAAAGCCATTGTGAAAAGCTGTACTGAAATCTTGAAAAAATATTTTTTGAAAGTCATATAATAAGATATATAATTCATGGATTTGTGGCCAAGAAAATGTAGTCTCAGAAGCTAGTCCATTCCAGGAAATGTGTCAGAAAAGTAAAACTCATAAGAATCAGAATTTTCCCAGCTGTGGTAATTGCACACTTAATTCTTGTGTTGTGCATGCCAAAGCAAGCCAGAGCTCAGTGCCATCACCCCAGAGTGATGGAGAAGAAAATGTGATCTTTTTTGACTACATTACTGGTACATTCATTCTGGATTAATGTTCAGATGCCTTGAACAGTTGAGTAGTGTATTGTTTTAGAGGAAAGTTACCATAGCAGTGGTGTTGGGGATCTGGGATGGTTGAGGGAGCTCTGCTTTTGAACTTAGTGCCCTGGCAATCACAAAAGTGAGTGTTGTAAAGCTGTGCTCAGGGACGTGCCAAGCAGCGTTTAGCTCCGGATGATGACGGCAGAGGGATTACTGCACTAATTGCTCTCTGTGCTCCTCGGCTGCAGATCGTGTCTGGCCAGAACGTTTGCCCCAGCAACAGCACGGGCAGCCCCTGCATCGAGATCGACGTGCTGGGGATGCCCCTGGACAGCTGCCACTTCCGCACGAAGCCCATCCACCGCAACACGCTCAACCCCATGTGGAACGAGCAGTTCCTTTTCCGCGTCCACTTCGAAGATCTGGTCTTCCTGCGCTTTGCGGTTGTTGAAAATAACTGCTCAGCTGTAACAGCCCAGAGGATCATTCCCCTGAAAGCACTGAAGAGAGGTACGGTGCAGCTCGTGGTGGCACCCTAAGCCAAAATGGTCCGGTGGGTTCCTGGGCTGAATCCTTCCAGAGAGAAATTTTTCATCAGTTGCATTTTTCTAGAGGAGACAGGGAGCAAATACCAGACAGCACAGCACGGCCTGGCAGTGCAGTGCTGATCTGAGACTCCAGGGAGCTGGCAGCCGCCCCAGTGGCTCGTAGCAAGTCCGATGCTGTGCTGCTGTGGAGGCTGGGCCATGTGGTACACACCTGCTCCCATGCTGAGGGTGCTCCTGGGGCTGTGTTCACCACCAAGGGACTGGCTGCTCCCTTAGGAAGCTTGGAGGGCTTTCACTCCTGCCTTGTCCTTTGCCCAAGAAACTGCTTCAACAGCTGATCACTGTGCAGAGGGAAATTGTACTTCTCACAGCCATGGCTGCAGGGGAGTTGGAGAAAGGGTGGAAAAAACTGAGAGATAGGAAACATCACTGTGACACCTGGGGGAGAGAGTTTCCATGTTGCCAGTAGCTCTTCTGCACTTGCTTTGTGCCACTTTAATGTCACACAACTGTCTGGGTTGGCATGTGAGGAGATTTGGTCATACACATATGTTTTCCAATGAGAATTTGACCTTGCTTCATTCATGTTCTGATGTTCAGATATTTTATGTATGACTATATTGAGTATTATGGTAAAACAAAGGCAGGTTGCTCTATGAGCCACTCAGCAGTAGGATGTGTTACCCTGTTGTACAGTGTTAATGCAGTGTTATTAGAGTGCTTCAAATCCTACCTGTGTGGCAAAGTGCAGCTATAAAAACAGTAAATTTGAGGTTTCCATTTATGAGACTTGTGTCCTAGGATGTGGCAAAGCATTTAGAGAAGAATTTTTCCTCTTTAGGCTACAGGCATGTCCAGCTCCATAACCTACACAATGAAACATTAGAAATTTCCAGTTTGTTCATAAACAGTCGGAGAATGGAAGAAAGTCCCTCTGGAAACACTCTGCCTGCATCTATGGTAATTTATTTTTTGTTTGTGTGTGTGAATTACCTTTTTTTTTTTTTTTTTTTTTTTTTGCTTTGGTGGAAGTAAGGTTATCCCACCTGGATAAAACTGTGGGAAGGTAAATCTTTTCAAAGTCTGGCTCCTCTGCTGTATCGAGGTATAGAATAAGAAATGTGCTCCTCTGTTGGGGGAATGTGGACAAGCAGTAAGGTTCAGTGCAGCCTCATGCATTCCTTCATGCATGAATTGTAAACAAAGCATTTGAGACCAAAAAAAAAAGGAAGATGCAAATTACCAACAAGTTGGAAATAATGACAGTAAAATTGATTTCTGTTACAAGAAAAGATGAGCTCTGTATTTCCATAAATACATATAGATTTATATATGTGTGTGCACATACATATGTTTATATGTGCAAATATATATACATCTGTACGGGTATCTGTATATCTAAAAATATGCATGCAGAGATGTGATTTTTGTTTAAAAGCCCTTACTGTAAGGTTACCTGGGTTACTTGTGCTTTGGCAACTTTAAACACGTATTTTATAATTTTGCTGACTCCTAAAGTGTCAGCTCCTTCTGAGCTCCTGTGTATGTGGCAGATGTGTTGCAGATATTACCTCCTGTGAGTACATGCCAAACTTGTATCTTGGTGAATTACTTGGGTGGAAAGGAAGAACAAATAGTTTGAGGGTTAAAACAAAGCTATCGCTTTTCGTCCAGTAATCTGTGTGCTGAATCCAAATATTTGAGCTCAGCTAGAATGGGGAATGAGTGGTGGAGGTTGGCCCTTTGTCCAGTGGTGGTTTATGTATTCCCTCTGGAAAACTTCCTTTTTCTCTTCAGCTTCAAGACACGATGGAGGCTTTTGGAGGGTTTGTTGGGGTTTTTAGATGCCTCGATCTGTAATGGAAGGAAGAGCTGTGTATGAGCTGAACAGCTTTGCTTTGTCAACGCCCTCACAGCTTGTTTCTTTTAAGCAGCCTAGAAATAACATGCCTGTGTAAAAACATCCAGTAACCTGTTGAATGTTGTCTGAACAGTTGTTTAGCGTGGGAGAAAGGAAAGCTGCCATGACTTACAAAGTGACAGTTCATGGAATTCCAGGCCCAGAGCCTTTCACCGTTTTCAGTGTAAGTGCGGGGACCACGGCTGCACAGCTGCTCCATCAGGTGAGCTTCCTGCTGAACTGCAGACTCTTCATTGGCAGAATCCACACTAACATCCTGCTGGACCTCTGTCTCCCTGCATTTCTCACACACAGGGTTGTTGCAGTTCATTCATCACAGCAAGGGGGCTGTTAGAAATGCATTGCTGTGGAATTAATTACGCAACAAATACAGAATATAAGCAGTGGAATTTTCCCAATCTTGGCTTCAGGGAATGGGTTTATAATCTTAGAACATATTCCCTATTTTAAAATTTGGGCATATGCAGATGAGAAAAACAATCTCTCTAATCAATGGGTGCAATGGGTTCTCCTTACACCAAGGGCAAACATTTCTGCACAATTCTTTGAACTGAAGCACCATAGGAACAGAGAGTAAAAGTTAGAGGGCGAAGTTCATGAGTAGAAAAACCAGTTAACTCAGCAGGGATTGTTATTCTAGCAGTGGGAAAAGACTGTACTGTCCTGGGATTATGAATAAATTTTCTGGCCAGCCAGAAGGGACCGAAATAAGCTTAAATAGTACTGCCTTGTCTGGAATAGTTGAACTGCTTGGCTAGGCTAAAGAGAACAGGACATTACCCTGGAGTAAAATATCTGAATAATAAATAGCACATCAGAAATCCTGCCTGCACTGTCAGAATAATTACTGATTCTTAAAGCTTCCTTATTCATTCTCATTTATAACTACTAATTATGCAGTGTTTATATTTAGCATTCTAATTGTTGTGTGTTGTCTGTCTTAGCTCTTGGCTACCATAAAAGGCACCGAGTCATGCGCTGCAGACTATTTTCTGATGGAAGAGAAGAGTTTTATATCAAAAGAAAAGAGTGAATGCAGAAAGCCACCATTCCAGAGAGTGATTGGTCCTGAAGAAGGGCTAGTGCAGCTTTTAAACAGTTGGTTCCCAGAAGAAGGATATGTTGGAAGAATTATCTTTAAAACTCGAGAGGAAGTAAGTCTGTTTTAGATAAATTACTATTTACAAAAGTAGCTAAAAATAGCTCTTAGGACCATGAAACAAAAGGGTGCAGTATTTGTTTCACTACTTGGTTAGTGATGTCAATGCTGTGTGCATTATTTAAAAACAAACTTAACTCTTGAGTGAGAAGCACAAATTTATACACCTGTGTGACACCAACTGGACCTCCCTGAGCTCCAGTATCAGCTGTGTGGTGTTTATTCATTATGCCTCAGTCACCAGTTCAGTAACTCAGTTTGGAGTGATAGTTCTAATTTAATGCACATCTAGATTATGCCATGATAGGAAGTTAATATAAAGATAATAGTTAATACCATAGATAGCAGAACTCCAGAAAACCACCGTCAATTTAGATGGCAGCAATTTATCATTGCTCTAAAAAAGCTAGACATAATTTTAATATTAAAGAATAAGTCTAAAAGCCTCAAAGGATTATTAAATTGTCAATTATAGGCTAAAATAATTAAATAGGTGGTTTCTTTTAATTTAAAGGAGGAAGATTACTTCAGTTTACACTATGAGCAAAGCATCTACAGCATAAAATATGCTAGTGCCCTGGCTTGTGAGACAGAGACAAAAAAAGCAGGAGAAAGACACTTAATGATCCCATTTTCAGAAGCACTTTCTTTGGTCAGTTAGGCAAATAAAAATGCTTGCTTAGTACACAGATTTTACATACATATATATATATGTATGTATCTATGTATGTTTTTTTGGTTATTTTGACAGAACTTTTGATAAAGCTTCAATATGACAAATTGCTATTATTTTACACAAGTCCACAATTTGGTTTCCTTTATATGTATGTATCTATGTATGTTTTTTTGGTTATTTTGACAGAACTTTTGATAAAGCTTCAATTTGACAAATTGCTATTATTTCACACAAGTCCACATTTTGGTTTCCTTTATATCTAATCTTTGGAACAAAAATGAAAAGGTAGAAATTTGTTTGTGGAAACAGTAGCCTACAGAATTCCACTGACTGCAGCACCTGCCTCTGTCAGTGTATGCTGCCACGTATCCTGCCAAGCCCCATTCCTTCAGAAAATGGGTAAAAATCTGCCTTAGCATGTATGAAAATTATGCTGTTGTTCTGTCCTGTTATGTGAGTACCTCAAAGCATTATTCATAATTTTGAGCCTTTCTGCAGACAGCAGCACCTCAGAGCTTGGAATGAAGCTGCAGATCTGACTGGAAAAACAAGGAGCAGGTCCAGTGACAGGTGGAATACACAGCCCATATTTGCAGTTTATGAATCCAAGTTGTGTTCCAAGTGTTCCAATGCTCTGGACAGAAATGCATTCTCTGAGAGAAGGTTCGAGGAGGAATTGTCTAAAATCTGCAGTAGTCATTGAAAAGGGAGAGAGAAACACGCAGCCTTCCTCTTGCTCCACCCCACAGGAAAATGTTCATTCAGATTCTGGCTCTCTAAATTCTTTTGGCTTTAGTGCAGGGACAGGAAAGAAAAGAACCCTTTCTACCATCTCCCATCGTACTGGCACCATTACATGACAAAAACATAATTTTATATACATAAGGGAAGGATTTAAGGGACCATTTTGTGAAATGGGATGCTATGCAGACATCTCCATTCCTCACCTACTATGAAAGGTATTTCAGGTATCAATTTTAGAAAACATGGGTATTTACTAGCATTATTATTATTATTATTACTAGCAATAGTGGCTAGTCAAACCTTTCTTATAATGCATTTAACAAAATGGAGCCGAGGCAACCGCAGTCTCCAATTTCCATGTAATAAAACCCTTGTGTGACCATCAGCTATTAGTTACCTCTCTTAAGTAAATGAATTTGTCTGTCATTTTCTCTGTAGAATTTAAATGAGAGAAATGTCTTTCAAGAAGCAAAGGAAGAAGCAGCCATCAGCTCTGAGGATGACAGCTTCTTTGTTCAGGTACACGATGTCTCCCCAGAGCAACCACGCACCGTGATCAAAGCTCCGCGCCTCAGCACGGCTCAGGATGTCATACAGCAGGTAAGGGCGTGTGCCACCTCAGCATGTGGGCTGGAGGCTGGTTTCAAACAAGCTGCAGTGGGATTTGTTCTCAGCACTAGCTGAGGAATTGGTTTGGTAACCTGAATCTGAGGGAATGCCTTTTTTGTTTTGTTTTTCTGCTTTTAAACAGACTCTCTGCAAAGCCAAATACTCCTACAGCATTTTGAGCAATCCAAACCCAAGTGATTATGTGCTCTTGGAAGAGGTGACTAAAGAGCCAGCAAACAAAAAGTCTTCAACATCTAAACCATCTCAGAGGATTCTCTCTGATCAAGAGTGTGTGTTTCAGGCCCAAAGCAAGTGGAAGGGAGCAGGAAAATTTATCCTTAAGCTCAAAGAACAGGTTCAGGTAAAAGATGCAATACTTTGCAGCAGATGTTACAGATGGTGTGTGATCAGCTTAATGGGAGCCCGCTTTCCATGCAAGGCAGACACAACTGGCATGAGGGCAAGTGGAGAGGACAGACTACAGAAAAAAGCAATTTTCCTCTTTTCTCTGAACCTCCCTTACATATTCCTTTGCAAAACTGCATCAGTTACATTCAGCAATACGATTCCCTCACCGCCTGCAAATCCAGAGCAACCTTTATCTGCTACCAGCTTTCTGTTTCTCAAAACCTTCTGGCTGTGCATGCCATGTTCCCTGTCATAATAAAGGACCATTCAAATGGGCAGAACTTACAAGCTGCTGGAATAAAGTCCCCTTTATTCCTGGCCAGTGAAAAAGTTGTTCTGTTGCTTTATCTCAGGCTTCAAAAAATGGCAGGAGTGAGATACATGCCGGCTGGGAGAAGGAACTGCATTCTCCTTTCCAGCAAACACCACCAATACCCAGCTGCTGTTGCTTTAAAGTAACTCTATTATAAGCACAGATTACAACATTTGCTAAACATATCTTTAACAATGCATAATTTTTAATTAATTTATTAGAACAATCAGAAGGAAGTGCCTGGATGAAAGCACAGCTGTACTGAATTCCTAAAGGGAGGTCTGCTCAGCAGTATGTCAGGTGTTTTCATATTCATTCCTTATTCCCAGCCAACAAGCAGCTGTTTAACCACCTCTGTGATCTGTTTGAATTTTTACAGGCAGCACGAGATGACAAGAGGAAAGGCATCTCCTTCACCAGTGAGCTGAAGAAGCTGACCAAGTCAAGTAAGCAGTACCGGGGCGTGGTGTCGCCCGCGCTGTCGGACAGTCCCCAGGGCAGGGAGGACAGAGCCGCCTGCGCCCTGGCCTTCAGTGACATCATGGAATAGTGCCAGCTCCTGCCACGGCAGGCCCTGCTCAGGTATGAGACAGCCAGCCCAGCTTTCAGTGCAGCATCCTCAGAGGATTCCTGCTTCCAAGCTGTAGCTGAGCAAACCAAGTGAGGTACAAGGACTGACAGAAGGATCCATAAAAGCCTCCTCATGCACTGGTGTGCACAGGCACCATGACATCAGGAAGGTCTCCGAGTGAACCAGAATGGTGGAGTTTCACCCACTTTCTCTGTCCATTTAACCCAAAATGTTGCATCCCAGTTGATTTTGCAGTACTCATTTTTATCAACAATTGTGCTTAAATGTTCTGTTGCTCTCTTGCTCTGGGCCACAGCAAATGGAAGTGAGCAGTAGAGCTTTTATTGTTTTTTGTTATGTCCAGATAATAAAATCATCAGGATTGGTGATCTCTTTTTTAGCTAGCACAAGTTTATAGTGTTAATTTCTGTCTCTGGAAATGTTGCCAGAAATGTTTAAACATTTACACTATCCTTTCTGTATCTCTTCAGTTTCTTCCATCTTGCTTGACTTCAAACAACTGAAATACACAACAAAGACTGTCCCATTTATATGGAGATAGTAAGTGCCACTTGCCCAGCACTGTACACTAACCAGACACTTGCACAGTGCTACTGCAGCACTGTGACAGCAGCTGGGAAGTTGCAGCTCTCTGCAAATGAAGAAGAAACCTTTTTCAGTGTTGATAATCCCACCTCACAGATGGCAAATTTAAGATGACTTTTTTTTTTCTGTATACATCTAATTATTAAAGCATTATTTGACATGCACTGTAATGCTGCTGCTAAGTCACTAAATTAAGAGAATTCAATCACTTCTGTGATTTCATTTGTTGTTCGTCTTGTTTTCATTTGCAAGGTATTTCAAATAGGAAGGGATTAATTTCATAGTTTATTTCTAGGCTGCTATAATGTATTAAAACAATCTGAATTCAAGGAAAGCAAAGTAAATTTTGGGAAAATCAGAGCCACTTTCTCTCTTCTGCATTTGGTTGGGTTTTTGTTTTGCTGGGGTTTTGTTTTGTTGTGTTTTCTTGGGTTTTTTCCTTTTTTTTTTTTTTTCTGAAACCCCAATGTGGAATTTACATGACTGAATCCTTCTGCAGTGCCTTTGAAGGATCCAGCTGTGGACTGAACTGGTTGGAACTGTGTGCCCTGTGCTACAGATGCTTAATCCAGGCAATGCTGCTGGATTGACATGCAGACTCTGGGAATCCTAAATGGGATTCTGTAGATGGGAAAGATGCCTGTCAGCTCTTGGAAGATTCCTCTCTTCCTGTTTCTTCACATCTGCAGATTCTCCATAGGCAGATGGAGAAGTTTTCTTGGACTGTATGTTGTAAACAAACACGTGTCATCACCCTCCCCTTTTTAAACAAAAGATAATTTTAGCTTGTTGCCTCTAAGGAATCAGAAGGCAGAGAACCAGAGTGGTTTTTTATGTGTATTATATTAAAATAACGCACTTTTACCTGATGATTACTGTTAAACACTGTGTTAAGTGATTGTAAAGAGATTTAAATATACTGTAACTTCCTTTGCATATCTGTTTAACTTTGGTGAATATACACGAAACACTCAAAATTATTTATGGTTTAGCTACATTAACAAAATAGTGTACAATAGCTGAGTACTTCTTACTGGTAGTGAGATCTTGGCAAGGAACAACATTTTCTTCTTATAAATTTTAGTTTTCCAGGCTTGTGTTTAAAGAAAGAATATTTATTACCATGTTTCAAAGTACATGCCATTGTATAGTATATTTATCATATACTACTTTTTAGAAAATGCAGATTTTTTTATCTTTCTCTGGATTTAGAGGAAAAAAGTATTAGAACTTTTCTGGTTCTTTCTTTTCAGCACAAGATGTTTAGTACCCAGTACTGACCAAATTCAAAACAATGCATTGATAAGTGTAATTAACATTTCAAAATTTCGAATTCAAACCACATTTTTCCATATAGTCAGGAACTGTCTTTTTACTTGTCTGTCAAACCCAGACAGTATAAAGAACTTTACACTCTAACTCTTGACAATTCTGTTTACATAGAAACGCTGTTGTGAAGTTCTACATGTGCTGAATTCATCTTTTGTTATCAAAGTTAGTTATGGTAGTCTCTTTTTTTTTTCCTCCATGGGAGTTACTGATATGTTTAGTTGTTTAAAATAATCCATTACCGGGGCACAAATTAAACAACTGCTGCCATCAGCCATCCCTTTGATCTCCCACAAGAAATGTGTCTGTGGGGAACAAACTGCTCTGCATGTGTTTTTGTTTCACTAGAGGAAAGAAGTTACAGGCAGTAGTCTCATGACAGCTAATGCCCCCCCTCCCCCCATCCTGAATAAGAAAATGAAATAAAAGAAAATAAAAGTTATTAACTGGCATATAAACAAGCAGACAGACCCTGCATTCTGTCACCAGAAACTCTGAAGTCTTTCACTATACACTACAGAAAATGCTTATGAAGTAGCCACTTACCAAAGCAAAAAAGTGCCCTCTTGAGGTCACTTCCAGCTTTCAGAAAAAATAACCACAGACATACAAAAAAGTCCGATTTCTCAGTGGCATGTCCTCACAGAGGCCATGCACTTCCCACTGCTCATCTTTCACAAAAGTTAAGTTTTGAACTTATGTACCAAATCAGCATTTTACAAATCAGCAACATAACCCCCAACCAGCTCAGCCTGTCACTCCTTACCAGGTCCAACAGTAGCAGCCCCTGTGAGGGACACGTGCTCCTCTCCATCCTGCCCAAGGAAAAGACTGAGCCTGAGCAAAATGTTAAGAAGTGACAACTTACATATAGTTCTATATGCATAGTTTGCTTTGGAATACTTTGGAATTACTGGGAAATACATCAACCTGCTGCACAGTTCAACTAATGCAAATTTTTTAAAATGTTACCTTCATTCTCTCTGTTATTTTAACACAATTTTATGTCACTGAGAAATTTTTGCTTTTGGTGTTTTTGTGGCATTCTAAAAACAACGCTTAATGTCCTGTAGTGTGCCCCTACCTGTTTAGCTTTTTCTTTTTGTTGGTGTGTTTTTTTGGGTTTTTTAGCAGCTCTGAAAATTCTTAATATTGCCTGTAGTAAGTATCACAGTAGGCTGGCAGATACCTTGCTAATTAGCTGGATTCAACACAGAAAGTTCTTATATCCTTGTTGTCATCCACTAGTGCTTTTCTGTCACATAGATATAAAAGCAAAAAATAATCATGGGGAAGCAAAGGGGACATCCGTAGTCATGTCATATTGTGCCTAACACTAGCCTGAAGTCTTGTGGGCATTTAAAATCAGCAGTTTTGCACTATTTCTGCTAACAGAATTTTTCTAGCTGTGGTAATAGCTTATTAATGTAAGTATCTTCATCATCAATCACAGTCAAAACCTCCTCTGTCCGCTGTTTCTTACCGTGAAAAAGAACAGCAAAATATTTGACTTTTTATTTAGAAACCCTAATTTTGTAGGCCTGTAGACATCTGGAATTGTGTAAGGCTAATGAACCTGTTCCAGTCTTTTCATTAAAGTACGTGCATCACTTAATTTAAAGTTTAGGTATTGGTAAATATCCAGGTAAACTTTTCTTGGTGAAACATGATACACTTTGGTGTGAATTAGGGAAAGAATTGCAGTGCCCTTCCTCTTGCTGGTTCAAAGCAGTGGAAATTCAAAACCACTTGAAACATTAAAGAGCAAGGGGGAGTTGTTAACTTTTGTGAAAGCCCAGTTAAAGAGTTTTCATGTCCTAAGTTGTTATGCTAATAGGAATGTTTATTCTGTTTAGCCACAGCTTTTATTTCTGCAGGAATCTGTCACACATTCCTATGACAAAACTGACAAAATAACTTTGTCCTTTTCCATGCTTCTGGCTGAGTATGGACATCAATTAGGAAAATACATTTATTTTTACATTACAAACTATTTACAGGAAGCAGCTTCCAGGATAAAGTTTGAAAGAAAGGAATGTAAATAATCAACATCTTCCAGAAACATGCAGTCTCTGAGCAGTAGCAGGCCTTGCACTGCACACTTTTCAGGTGGAAATCTGCTTCTCCTGCTCCACTGCCTATTGGACAGAAAACACAAAAGTCTTTTATTCTGTACTATTTTAAAACTGCTCCTTTTCTATCAATTTCTTACCCTTTCCTGTGCAGCACATGGTGCCTGCAGTGTGTGCCTGTAAGGGCCAGAAGCGGGGCAGTGCCAGCTCCTGTGTGCCTGCAGAGCTCTCTGCTTGTGGGAACTGGGGCACTGCAGGAGCTGCTTCCTCCACCGCCCAAAGGCTTCCTGCTTCTGTCTTACCGACCCCACCAGGAGCAGTCAGAACACTAAAAAATACTATCTCAGTTTTTGGTTTTTTAAGCCTAGTGACACTTTTTTCCTTGCTTACAAATATTACTAGGTGAGGTGTCTGAATAGCTGCTTTTAGGAAGGTGTCTGCTTCTAGACCTCAAGGCTTTTGAGAATTAAACACTGCAACACAGAAGCATCCAAATATTTCAAGAACACTTTCTCTTGCATTCATAGTTTATTTTCAAAAAGAGAAAATTTTGCTACTAGCTTTACAGGCTAAGTCTGCAGCTTCTGAAACTCACCTGTCTGTTCTGCTCCTCAAATGCTTGAATTAACATCTGTTTTTTAATCACTGTCTGTTACTATTCCACTATAAAACTCAGTTTACTTTTAGGGTAGCCCACTAAATGTACCAATGGTGGCAATTTTTCCCTGTCTGTGATAAAAATTTTGTAACTTCAATAGTGATAGACATTTGGCAGAGTTAGCAAATTAAACTAAATAGCAGTAAATAGATTTTGCTCCAATAGATGTATAAGCTCTTTCAGAATGACTTGTACGGTTGTCTTCCTCTGCCTCTTCAACCATATCAAAATACTCTGACAATGCAACATCACCATGTGCCAGTCTTTATGTTTGGAAACTATGTAAAATGAACAATTTTAAAAGTGACTTTTCCACCTGGACTGTTTTCTCTCTGCTGACTTGAATAAACCATATTTGTATATGTTGTAAAAAAAATAAATGGTTTAAGATGTTGAATCTTTGTTTTTGCCTTCCTGAACTGACAAAGGTACTGACAAATGGCCCCCTTGGAATTTTGCAGAATTTAAATCACATCTGTATTTGGAAACACTTAACAACTAAACTAAACTACTGAAAATTAATGGGAATGACAGCCTAAGCAGACAGAAATAACCACCAGTATGAGGCATGCAGGTTTGTAGTCCACACAGTAAATATAATATAATACATAGGTATTTTATATGTATAATATAATACATAGGTATTTTCTAATCCCTTAATACACAGATGTCTGTTCTAAAATGTTTGTAAATTTATGTTTAATTACTTGAAAATCGGTGAACTAGTGTGATCAATACTGAAAACTTCTTAGAAGAAAAATAAATTAATTGTAAAACCATCTAAGAGCCATAAATCAGGATACAGAACTAAATACCCTAGAGAAAATAAGATATTTTCTGACTTAAAGGAAAGCTTTGCAAAACTTACACACAAATCGAGCACTACAGAAGTGTCAGCCAGGACAGCCCACTACATTCCCCTTTGCAATGCAATTCACATAAAGACAATACTCACATTTAAATTATTTCATGTATTTCACCTGCTCTTTGCAAAGGCAATATGCAGCTGAAAATGGATTCAAAAACATTCAGACAATAATAATACTTGGAGAATGTGGAGAGAATTACCTACCTACAAAAAAAAAAATTCTTACCTTTTATTTGTCCAGTATTCTTGACAGCAATGTTTTACTGAAGACACTGCAGTAGAGCACTCAGTCATGATGACAGCTTAGAACTGAAATTCAGTATTTTTAATTTGCCAGTGTCAAGATTCATCAGAGGAGAAAAAAACACCAAATTTAAAATCATTTCAAGATGAGATAAATGGTTAGAAGACATCAGAAGAAAAACAGGAAAAATGCAATACATATTCCAAATGTCTAGGTAACTTAGACATCAAGAAGTCAACACTATGTTAACATTTTCAGAATATTTATTAAGTTATCAGCACAACCCAGTGAGTTTGCAGAAACATGTATATCTATATTCTGTTATAAAAATTAGAAAAATACATAAAGAAAAAACAATTGTGCATGGTTGCAAACAATTCTTAAATTATTTGGGTTTGTATATTTTTAAAAAACTGACAGTTCATTGTGATTCCCCAGCCCCTGGAACAGGGGCTCGGTGGTTAGGGGGACAGGCCTGTAACTGTGAAAAACTGCTGTTACATTTTCCTGTGTTTCTATATTCACACAAAAGCCTGCTTGTATTCCTTTTATGATGACTGGTGATTTCTTTCAGCCAATCTTTCTCCATAATTAAGAATCCAAGTGAACTTGATTGATAGATACATTTATGCCAAGGATGATTCCTTCAAGTGCTTAGCAAAATCCAAGGGTTTGTGGGCAACAGTCTCACTGATGTGTTGTTGAAGCTGTTTGTTTAGTTCTTCATCTACAAATGAACCCATATGCGAGAAGGTATCCTGAAAATTACAAAATAAGAGTTGTATTACTAAACAAGGCCATGTTTTCCATGTCTACCTTAGTTTAGCAGTTTTGTTTCCCTCCTGTGGTCCCAGACATGTAGACCAGACCTGTTCAGCTGGCAAGCACCATGTCAGGCAGTCCTTCATAAACTCGTGGGTTTGGTGAGGCTTTTCTGGTTTGTGCTAAACTGGGCTTTAGAAGATTACCTACTACACACAGCCATGGCTTCCAGCTCAGGGTGGGAGGTTCACACACCTTACAAATACAAATCAGGCAGTTTGGTGACAGCACACATTTACAAATAAGCACCTCTGACCAAAAGGCAACAATGCTCACAGCACAGGTTGTGAGTCAGAAAGGAATCCCCTCACCCTTCTGCCTCCAGCCACACCTGGAGCCCTGCATTTTCCTGGTGCTCAAATAAAGAATGATGATCATGTATATGATTGAAACTTCCCTGTGAAAGTCTTAAAATTTCCAGAGCCAAGTAGTTTGGAACTCATGGAGAAATGAGAGCCTCTCTTTAGAGGTGCACAGGGCTCCAGTGTGGAGCTTCTGTCAAGAGCAGGGAGATGCTGGCAGCCTGGCACACAAAGGACATGCAGAACACAGAGGGTAAAACTCAGATAACTGCCAAAATTTGTTAAATGAGCCAAACAGCCATAGAGCAGGCAAGGCCTCAAGGTAATTTTCCCACTTAGGTCCATTATAGATAGCTATCTATGGACACTTTGTGATCTTGATGTTGCACTGTTTCTGCTCCCTAAAGGAGCTTGTGCATTTCCTTATTCAACCCTCATTTTCTCCCATCTGCTGTTCTCAGCCTTGCTCTGTCAGAGCTACTCATGTAACTCCCCAGCAGGACACATATCAAGGAGTCATTATAAAACAACTGAATAAGTTAAGCACAAACATATTTTCAAAAGTTGGTTCTCTAAAATTGAAAGAAAAATTGCCCTCTCAAGGCTTCAACCAACATTCCTGAGTTACAAAGTGGAGCACTGACAAGGTTAATAGGTTATAATTATAATGTTTCCATTAGAAAGAAGGAAAATTATCACTTTTTAAAGGATACACCATTAACTGGACATTAATGGAGGCTGGCATCTGGAACATATCCAGAACTGAGGATATAAACACACCTCCCCCATTTATCCTCTTTTTATATTAACCCTTTGTTCCTCTCAAATTTCCACTTTAAAGCTGCAGTGACACTAACAGGGATCAGCATCCCTCAGCACACTGAATCAAATGCTCTGGAAATCCAGCTGTCTTGGCAACTACCCACCCTGGGGAAAGAGCTCGCTCTTTATTATTACTTTTTGAACAAACATTAGTTCATCATTACAGCAAAGAGCCAAGAAATCTGCACTGAACCACTGCAAAGTGCAAAATAACAGCTACCATATTAATCTTGCTATGTTAACTGATGCTGTGGGAGGTAGGACTATTTATAGAGCTATTTTTTCCTTCCTTATACTCAGTCCTATCTAATCCCAGTTTAAAAAATGTACTTGATGCAGAAAGTACAGAACCCAGAAAGCCACACTGAGTGTGCCAGTGCCTGGGCACTGCATAGTGAGCCAGCAGATACAGGTTATACTTGTGTGTCACATGGTTAAAAAAGGACAGAGGAATGAGAACAGTACCTTTCTTCTGGGTGTTACTGAAGCAACAGGAGGATTAAAGGTCATTCCCTTCATACAATATGTCTCAAAAAGTTCTGTAGCAGACCTACAGTAAATAAACAGTGAAAGAAAAATGGCATTAGATAAATACAACTTCAGCTGATCTATCACCAATCCAAGAGCAGCATCCCACACAAATCCCACTCTCCCCCTCCATACTTCAGGAGAACTCTTCAGAGTAATGAGCATCACCTGGAAAAGGTCAGGAGCCAATGGCTGGGAAATAAGGCAAGTCAAATTAAGTAAAATGTGTCTAAATACACACAACAAAACTGTTGTCTTTCCAGAGCTCTGATCTGTACGTGTTTGAAAAAGGGGATGGAAAAAACGTAGGTAAAGATGGTCTTAGCTGACACAATCTGCCAAAATTTCCAACAGTTCCTTGCCAAAGGGTCTCATGAAAAAAACATCCATGGGAGAACAGGGAGGACCACCACAGAAAAAACTCATTAAAAGACATGAAACAGAGGACAGGAGTCTATGATCATTTTTTTGCAATGGCAGGAAGAAACTGGGTTTCCACAAGGTTTTTTCCAGGACCTGCACTTTCAAACATGCTCAAAAAAGAGCTGCAGAACACCAAGTTATTTGTAGTAGTAAGAATGCTCTCTACAGGTAAGTTCTCTCCCTGTAGAGAACTACAGACAGACTGTATGAGATGATCAGTAAAGTGGCAAATGAAATTTAGTGTTGGAAAAAGCAACTCTACATAAAAACAGTAGGCTCTGAGCAGACCTCTATCACTTAGAGAAAAAATTATCTTCTTGTTATGACAGATGCTTTTATGGGATTGTGACTTTAGTGCTGTTTGGAGTTAAAAAAAAACAGAGCACAATATAAATTAGTTACATCAGTGTGTAAATCCATAGATCATCCACATCTCAAATACTGCAACTGAGTCTCCAATCTCATCTTGAAATGCTTAAACTGGTAAACATTCAGGAACAGGCAGTAAAATGTATGGAAAGGAAGAGTGATTGAGCAGGCTGTGCACTCCAGCTCCCAGAGCAAGAATCAGGGGCTGTTAATTGAAGCAAACTGGCACCAGGTTCAAAACAAAAGAAAGCAGATCTCAGCATAAGGAGCTGTGGACTCACAGAACCCTCACCAAACAATGCTGCATTTGCAGAATATGTGCTCTGATTCAAGGGACATTGAAAAGTTTTGAAAAGGAACTCCATGAAGAGAGATACTAACAGAAAATGGTATCAGTTCAGGAAATCCACCAGGCTGAAACCTGCCAGAGGCCTGCTCAGGGCATGTCTCACACGTATGCCCTGGTGTTATTTTTCACAAGGCACCTGCTGCCAGCCACTGCCAAGTACAGGATGCTGAATTAGATCCCAGTCTGAGCCTGGATGCCTGTTCTCGTGTTTTAACCTGTACAGACCTTACACTGCAACTTGGGCTCTAGTTTCCACTGGACAGCCCCAGTTCAGTGATCCTGATCCATATTCAGATCAGGGCTGCTGCTGAAGGTATTTTGCTCCCAGGGGAAGAAAACACACTGCACTTTGAGATGTTTATCCTTGTCACAGCCTGGCAACAAGTCTCAAAAGGGAAAAAAACGGGGAAAAAAAAAAAGGCAGCCAGGATTCTGCATTCTGTACTGGCAGAAGAAGAAAGAGAGCTTGAAGATCAGAGTTTTTAGTTATTTTTAGGAATTCCTTTAATGTAGTATAAGCAACAGCTTCCTTTCAGGACCTGTTATAAATAAAGGAACTCTTTGATAACTCACCTTTGGCTCAAATCAAGTGGAAGAGCTCCTGAGCCTTCAGTTGGAGCTCCAGCAATAAGGTGAGATGCAAATTTCTGCACTGTTGGATGATAATGTCTCTGAAAGAAAGGAAGAATGAAGTCAATAGACAGACAGTAAGGGATAATGTATTCATCTACAGAATCTCATGTTTATTTCCAATTCATAAGATGGAAGGTCTGCTTTTATTTTAGAAACTGAGTACCTTAAAATCAGTCAGTTTGTGGGATTAATGTCATGCATTTATTCCCTCATATCATGCTGTAAGCATGACTCTCCACAGTCAGGAAATTCCTACTCCCAGAAAACAGGGACCAAGACAGAGGAAGCCCTCTCCAAACCCTGACTGGAATGACAGATCAAGGTGTCAGTTCCCCTGGGAAGAAGGGCTGGACTGCAAGGGAACTTAACAGCTCTAAAAACTCTCCAAAGGAATCTAATAAGGCAACCTGAAGTATGAACCAGTCCCCTTCTGAGCTCATCCTTCCATACCACTGTGGTGGTCTTCTTCCACTCTGCTGGAAGAGGCTCATATGGGCCAAGACTTAACAGATAAGCCTGAAGACCTTTGCTCTCCATTTGTGCAAAGCACCTAAACATTGAGCAGCTATTTACTGCTGTTACTTCCCAAACCCATGAGTTACTCACAAACCTGCAGTAGATGCAGCTCCCACAGTGCTGTGTTCTGGGCATTGCAATGCTCTGGTTCATCTAATTCTGGGAGATAAACTCCACTGCCTTGAGATTCGTTGTCTAGTAAAAGGTCCATCCTTGGGAATGTCTACAACACAAAAAAACCCCCAGAAACTGAGTTGTTCATACTACCCACCCAATTATAACATCTGGTTCATCTAATTCTGGGAGATAAACTCCACTGCCTTGAGATTCGTTGTCTAGTAAAAGGTCCATCCTTGGGAATGTCTACAACACAAAAAAACCCCACAAACTGAGTTGTTTGTACTACCCACCCAATTATAACACGGTTGAGTCAGTTTCAGGATTCATTCCACTTCAGTCAGTTTCATCAGCATTTAAACATATTCTGTTTTCATCATTCTTGTTAAAGATGCTTTAAAAAATTGGCACAAAATAATTTTAACAAAAAAAATTCCGTAACTTTTAGCCAGTAACCTAAAAATTTGAACAAGTAAAACTTACTTGCATGAATACCCTGTTTGTTGCCAAGATCCCAACACTGGAATTTGGAAGTACATGAAGAGCAAGGATGGAAAGTCGCTTCAGGAAAGCAAGAGCTCGTTGCTGGGAGACTTGCTTTCTCCTCTTGGCAAACATGACATCCAGGCACTGCAGCACAATCCCTATGTCCTCGTTGGTGCCACCTCAAAAGCAGAATTCCACACAAAGAGTAAAGAATCACTTCAGGGACAAACACTGTATACCCTGCTATGGGCTGGCACTGGCACTGAGAACAGCATGGAAGCTGGGAGGCTCAGACACCTCTCAGTGATGCACACATTAAACATCCACCCTTCTTTGGTCAAAATGGTCCAGCTTTGAACAGAAAAAATGTACCCTTGTTTCTGTGCTTCTTTCTAAGAAAATACTTATTCCATCAAAAGTATCTAATCATTAAACACTGCTTATTAGTGTTATAAACAATGCTGATTAGAATTCAGATATTGTTTTAATCCTAAATGCATTAATTGTATCGTTTTCTAGAAACTATTAAAAAGTGAAAAGATCTAGTATTTTACCCATCCAGAACAGCAGAATGTTTATTCTTAAGAGGTTATTCCTAGTGAACCCACATTACTAAAGTTAATTAAAATGATGCTAATTTCAAATTTTATAAATCTTTCTTTCATCAATTTTTCAACTTCTCAGAATTACTGGAAAATTTAGATTAGAACATTAAAATGTTATCATTATAACAATCACAAACATATACCAGAATTTTTTTTTAAGCAGAATATAAATTTAAATTATTTTTAGAATTGGAAAAATCCTTTTTTCTTTATTGGAGAGAGAATTAGAGAAAAAAGACAAGAATTTTTAAAATGCAACTGAAAGAAATAATTATAAGGAAGTAAAAAAACAGAGGACAGACTAAATGCTTATCCAAGACCAAATATTTGGCATTCCCTAATGAAATGGCACAAATAGAACCTGTTACCATGTATTGGAATAATAATTCCAGTATTTGTATTGCAGTAATGCAATGTGCAACTCGAGAAAAAAAAGTAGACAACAGATAACAATCTTCTCAGAAATCAGATATCTTTAAAAAGTGCAGTTTATTAATGCTACATAAAGGCTTTGATAGCAAGGAAACAGAATATCATTATCACTATGTAGGTGAACAGTGAAAGTAGGAATCTGGAATTACCTGCATGTAGGCTGAACAGTGTCTTGTACAGATGTGTGTAAAATTTCATTGGATCAATGTTAAGAACATCACCTATAAACATAATCCCAAATAAACACATTTACTCCATTTATTTACCATAAATAAATATTAAATATTAAACAAAGGTTTGTTTTTAAAAATCTCCTACCTTGACCAGAGAGGATATGAAAAGCACTGAGAATGCAATGAAGACTCTCACGATAGCTTAAATCCTAAAAATACAAAACCGATTAAGTACCCAAAAGAAAGTAATTTTAAGAAAACTGTGATAAAATTGAACTTACCCCAGATGCAATAAGAGAATGAAGGACAATCAAAAGGTCATCAAAAAATTCCACATTTATGAGATGAGCAAACCTGCAAAGAGATTTTCAGTTTTAAATTATAGACATTATCTGTAAACTCAGTTCAAAGTGTTCTGAATTGCCAAGATCCACACCTTAAAAGTGGGCTAAATCAAATGCTGAACATTTACTATCTTCACAGGAAAGAATAATTCAGCCCTCAACATTTATGGCTTTTCTAGAGCATTAAAGACATGCTTGTGTCCTTTAGCAATTAATCAGACAAAAGAATGGAATCACATCAGATACTGAGGCATTTGCACCACATCAATTCTATCACATGAAATTTCAAATCACACTGAAATGGTTTTGGAAATAGCAGAAAACTTCAGCAGAGAAACAAATTCCAACTAATGAAAGAATAATTCAGCCCTCAACATTTATGGCTTTTCTAGAGCATTAAAGACATGCTTGTGTCCTTTAGCAATTAACCAGACAAAAGAATGGAATCACATCACACCCTGAGGCGTTTGCACCACATCAATTCTATCACGTGAAATTTCAAATCACACTGAAATGGTTTTGGAAATAGCAGAAAACTTCAGCAGAGAAATAAATGCATTTCAACTAACTTGTTATGGACTATCTTTTCTCACTGCTTAAGACAAAAATTTCTTTAGTGCTTTGTCTTTTCCAACACACACAAAAAAAGGTAGTTCTTACTTTGCAAGACCTTCTAGCACAGCTGGCAAAAGTGGAGACTTCTGAGCTTTCTTCAAGATCCTGAAGTATGTTACAAATACAATATTCAAGGTCTCTGTGTGCTGAAGGAAAGAAAACAAAAATACTTAATCACGTGAAATAAACATTTCTATTTCACCTAAACTCAACTGAAATTATTTTCTCTGTCCAAGCCTGCACCCAGGCCTTCCCAACCAGTCCTGGCACTGCCATCTCTGCTCTTCTTACACTGAACAGCTCAAGTCCTCCAGTGCTCTCCTGCTCCTGGCTCTCTCCTGACTACAGCCACACTCCTCCTTTGCCCAAAGGCCACTCTGAGAGGCTGTACTCCACTACACAGTGTCCTGTGGAACAGGCACCTGGAGGACTTTTGTCAATGGATTCAATACCATTTTGAGCAGACCAGCACAAAGAGAACAGGAATGGCTACCCTGGCCTTCCTGGCTAAACTGAGTGTGGTTTACTAAAATCTAGATCTCTGTCACAGGCAAAGTGTTTGTTAGCTAACAGCATGATCAAGGGATGTGGAGTGCTGCCAGGTTGGGATGGAGGGAAGACACTTAGTTACAAAAGGGTTAGGAGCTGCCACAGGGAAATAATGTCTAAATTATTTACCAGCTTCAGTTTCTTTTCTTTACTTTCTGATGCTTCAGCTTCCAGGAGCTCTCGTTCCAGTTTCTCTTCTGCTTTTTTCCACTGAAAATATACAGTTGATTTTAAGACAACAGATCCAATGTTTCCAACCAGTCTGGATATCCATGTTGAAAAGATACCCAGAGAATAAATTTTCTGTGCTTGGGGGGTTGCTTAAGCCACCCTGTGATTCTACAGGGTAACCCTTGTCCTATCAGAAACAACCAATCAAAAGCATTATCAACACAGGAAAGAGGAAAAAATAGAGAGATAATTAAATTCCCTCTAGAACCTCATAAATTTTCAAGTACCATGCAAAAATTGATCACTGATGCTGAGAGTTAACAATGGCAACAGCAGATGTGTAATCACTGCTGGAACAAATTGCTACACTAAGTAACAGAAGTAGAGCATGAGAGAGCACATGTCATACCTTTCTTTGCATTCTGGAAAGATTTTTTCTTTTCTCTTTGTAAGTCATGAACTTTTTCTTTGGTGCAATGTCTTCAGAATCTTTTTGTAATTCTACTTCCTTAATTCTTAAGTGAAGAAATACTTTTAACACCTATTGTAAAATAAAATAAATACAATGAAAGGTCGTCTACAACTTGACAGGAACTAGGATAAGAAATCCTGAATTCCATTCCATCTAGTGGGCTTTGCTGGTCAAAGGTTCTTCTGTTTACTCCCCTCCTGTTCCTACACCTGTATCTCTCGATCCCTGCTCCCAGCTCCTTCCCCAGCACTGTCCATTTCTATCCATTCCTCCATTTGCCTCTCCCTGCCTGACTTAAGCCACGTCTCTGGCAGAATCTGATCTCTACCTCCCAGTCTCCTTCCCTTGCCCCATACCTCTCTAATTCTCTGCCTCAGTCTAATCCTGAACTGTCTATGGTCTGACAGTGAGGAAATTCTGCTTGTCTGTGGCCACCAGCTGCAGTAACTTTAACATTTGGGGATTTTTGAAACTTTTGACAGAAGAATATTGTGAGGTACAACAGAAAGACTCTTACCTCAGGTCTGACATCATAATTTCTACCCCTCACAAGGCCAGAAATTACTTTAACTACACCAAGTGAAGCATAGCCCAACTTGTCCTGTTTAAAGAGCTTCTTAACAGCCTCAACACACAGTTCAGAAATCTGAAAAGCAAAACACAGGAATTGTTCTGTAAAGCCAAATCCACAACAACAGCTAGTAACAGACAGTACCCATGGTATTTACTAATTAAGAAGTGCACACAGCCTGTAAAATAGCAAACACATACGACCAAAAGATCTGGATATTGTGGAATAAAGCTCAGAAATAATTATTTTTCACACAAAACAAGAACTCTTTCTCGAATCAGAAAATCACTTACCATTTTTGATGGATCATTCATGAGTGGAACAATGAGAACAATAATGTTATTGTGGAAGTTGAAGTGGGGTAGGGCTACAAGCAGCTCACACAGACACTTCACTGCTACCTCTGCTAGACCTTTATATGCCTTTAATGAGATGACATTGCTTTTCTTCATTTTCCTTTGCTTCCAATCTGCAAAAAAATATTATTTTTAGTGATTACTCTTCAGAATGATGATGATCTTATAAATATTTAAAGTTTTAGTGATTGCATATGTACTTCATGCAAGTGCTATCTCAAACACAGAAGGTACCATTCCTTCAGAGGAGGGAAACTGATGCAAACAATTTTGCCTTTACTGTGAAAAATGAGAAGTGTTAACTGTACCTTTAATTGTTTGTTCCAGATTTTCCAAGTAAAATTTATACTGGCTTACAAGGCCTTCTTCAAATTCTCTCAGTTTCTGTGTTTCTTTTTTAACCTGTAAACATAATGGAAATGACATTTTATTTGGAGAGCTAAATATGGACATTAGCCAATGGTGGTGAAAAAAAATTTGATATTTTAAAACAAGTATCAGATATCTAAGTAGTTTTTTCTTCTAGACAGACATTCCTAGAAATGTATTCAAAATAAAACATATCTGCATTTTTCTACAGATGTGTTCAGAGGGCTTTTTCTAACTAGGCCTATTTCATTTATAGAGTTTGAAGTACCATTATCAACTAGATGCTATTTTAAAACCATGACTCTAAACTGCACTAAAACTATATCCAAAAAACCTTCTAAAAATTGGTTAAAAACAAGCTCCAGAAAACAAGTTACTCTGCATTTGTTCAACAAATTGTTGAACATATTGCAAAGAAATCTATGCCAGTTAGGTGACAATATCGCATCATTTGCTTTCTTTCTAACTCTCTTTAGTGCAGGTCCTTATTCCAAGGCTCATGAGGAAAGTCACCCAGGTTTGGTATACTACTTTCAGACACTACTTTTCCCCTCCATCACCACCTGCATGTCATCTACTTATTGAAGGCAGTATGTAAGAATTTAATGCTCAAAACCAAAACCTCTCTTCCTGAAAGTGTCATTTGTGGAAGTTTACGAGCTTCCACAAGTATTTGTGTATTTGTCCCCTTTGCTCAAAACCATAAAATCATATTAAACAAATCAGTCTTAGTATCTGGCATAGCTGAAAACATTCTTAACCATAGATTTGATATTTCACCTTGGTAGCCTTTTCTGCTTCGGTCAGAGGCCGAATTTTGTACGAAGGTGCAATATCTTTGAATATCTCCATCAAAGACACCATGACCAGCTTCCTAACAATCACAGCCACGTTAGGATCCTGCTCCATCAGCATGGCACGCAGCTCCTTCAGCTTCTTAATCTGGTTCAAGAAAACAGGCAGACACCAGATGAAAGTTAACTGCAAACCAAGGGACAAGCACAATGCACATTAACTCAGCAGTTACTCAGACTCTACTTAGCATTGCATAAAGAGACAGGAAATTATAGCTATCTCAAAATTTAGTCTCAGGAATGCTCAAAATATCCTGCTATTACAAACTTGCACAGAATTACAGGAAAATTATCAGTATATCCTGAAGCATTGAGAACTATCAGATATAACCTTGAAATCAGAGCTTACATAAGGGTCACACTTAAGGAACAAGAAAAATAATGAAAGTGATACAACACTGACCTTCTCCTTGTTCTACTCATATATTCTTGGGGTTTTGCTACTGTTTGCTCATCCAGATCTTTGTTTCTTAAATTAGTGAACAACACACACACTTGTACATGCAGGTTAAATAAATGTACCTACATTGCTGTCTGGCTCCGAGAGAATGGCAGATGCTAAGGCAGCTATGTGCATCTTCCTCTCCTGTAGCTTCTGTCTCCTTTGAGCAGCCATTTCCTCAGGAGTGAGAACAGGCAGGGGTTCCTCATTAAAGTCTGGCACAGATATGAAGAGTCAGAAAAGAGGGGAAGTCACTTAACAAATACCATGTTGCAGATACTGCATTTCAAACAGGTATCCTGGGAAGGCCACACAAGAAGAAAGACTAACTCAAGAAGTTCCATAGTCAAGAAAGCTTTAAGAATGACTTTGCTAGATCTTATATTAACCCACTGATTAATTTTTGTTCCACTTCATGCAAGCAGCAGTTCAAGGCGAAAAATCGAAATAATTTTGAAGAAAGAGGATTTCAAGCCAGCCATTCCTGAGATTGTAACAGGTAAGAGTGCAAGCTTTGAATAATGGTTATTATGCTTTGGTGGCAACATGGTAATGAACATATCCAAAAACATCCTGAACAAAATACATATCAATTGCAAACCTCCTTGAGGAACAGCAAAATACTTTTCAGGTATGTAAGTGATACAGAAAAAAAAAAAAAAAACAAAGTGTTTTATTACCCTCTCCTTCCTCCATATCTTCCGTGTCCTCTTCTTCGTCATGTGCAACATTGAGAACTGCAAAAACAGAGTATCTAGCGTCAAGCACATAATAAACACTGTAACATTTTAAACAAATAAATTATATACTTCTTGGCTACTATGCCAGTTCCAGAATCTGTGTCTTACCTGGCTTTTCCACAGCTTGAGGAATTATGCCACTTTTGTCTTTGATGGGGAGCAGATGGATGAGTTCTTTTTCTGGCTCTGTTTGCAAACGTCTTGGCACCTTCTCATATTTCTCAATCACACTTTCATGTTTTCGTTTTTTGACGTGAACAGGTTCACTGAAAAATAAGAGGCAAACTAACTGAACCAGCCATGTAATTAGACAAGAGCCATCCCTGACCAGCTGGATTAAGTGGCTGCCTCTCCCCCAGGCCAGGGTGCTGTTTCACTTGTCCTTCCTTCCCCCTGTGCTCCCCCACAGCAGAGTGGCTGCCCTGGCAGGGTGGAGACGCATTAAACCACGCCAAGCAGTCCTGCCATGAAGGACTCCACCAGCACCCAGCAGCACCAGGATCCCTCACTGGGCAACAGCCCAGAGCCTCCTTAACATGGCCCACTGTGTCCTTCCAGGTGAGGTTTAACCAGGATGTGACAATGAGAGGGTCAGTGACCATTTCTATCTACCCTCCTCCATGGCTGTTTTTATCACTATCACTTTTCTGCTCTGCCCACTGGCACAGCCTGTGTCACACACCCCTCTCAGTGACAACAGCAAAAACCCAGCGTGGTGTGGCACCCTTTCACAGCTGTGCTCCTGAGCTGCACATAAATGTACAGGAGGGTAAGTATTTAGTCTGTGCTAATATGAGCACCAACTTGTAAGTGGTGTAATATCTGACAAGTTTTTAAGACAGATTGTAGCTGACCAGAGTAAAGAAAGCTAAGTTCTCCAATTTAAGGGAACACTATGAAAGGAACTAAAAGCCCATAACAGTAAATCAGGTAAAAGAGCAACAACTTCCACTGTTTTCCTACCAATCTAAAAACATTCTGGCATAATGCACGTAAGACACATAGAACTACATTTTGCAAAATATCTCTAAACAAAACCACATAATAAATTTTGAGTTTTGCAAGACTTTAAACTTATGTCACACCCAGTTCATTAGGGGAAATGGGCACGTTTAAAACAAAATTCTTCTAATTCAAGAACTTGTAGTGTGGCTACAAGAGACCATGCAGCACAACTGCAAGTTTGTACATAAAAGCCATTTATGCCTTTCCTTCGAAACTAGACTACATTATTAATTACTAAGCAGAATCAGCATTAACAAATTAAAGCCACCCTACAGCAGCACGGAGAGTCTTTTCACATCCATCAAAAAAGGCAAGCTAAGATTTTCAAACAATCATCTAACCAGACAACTCTGTAGAAGTGTATTTATAAACACTATTCTACAATTAGGAGCACCACTTTTCTACACAGGTCACTGTGAACTCTACCCAATGCCTTGTTCCACAAAACTGGTAACAAATTTTTTGTATGAATGTTTTGGTGTTGCATGTGTTTACAGACATGGCTTACAGAATCCTTTTTATTTTTTCCAGCAATTTACAGTGCAATATGTATAGTGGTCCATAGTCCAGGGAATGTCCTGAACACACTATATATTAAAAAAAAAAGACTCTGTTTACACTTAAAAGCATTTCTTTGGTTTGAGGGACACTACTCATCTCACAGGGACCTCCCAGGAAGGAACACTGCAGAAACAGTACCCTGAAGGTAACACAGAGCACCTGAATGCACTGATACCCACTGACACATCAATACTGAAGTACTGACAGGCTGAGGAAACATTAAACCAGAGCTGCAAAGAAACACCAGACTGAAAGAGACCTCCTGACAAATGTATTACTTTACATAATAATTACATATTAACCACACAAGGCTGAATTAGTATGAAAAGGAGACATTGCAACTCACTTAGAAGAAAGATCTCTGGTTAAAAAGGATGCTTTTTGGGCCAGATCCTCCATTAATTTTAAGTCATCTTCATCCATCATGTCCAGTGGAAGAGCATCTTCTTCTTCTTTTTCTTCCCATTTTTTAGCTATTTTAGAAGACAATGTTTACAGGTTAAGATCCCATATGTATAATCACTCTTGAAAACCTAACTCTGCCTACACTTTTGAGACCACTTTATGCCTTGCTTTCTACCAGGAGCTACTGACCTTTATGCACGTGGGTTTTGTTATCCCAGAAAACTGCCCCTTTACTGTGACATCCAATAATGATCAGTGCAAACACATTTTTACCATCTTTAACAGTTTTAGGTGCCAGAATGGCCACATTTTGTATGTTCAAAAGTCTCCCGTTCTTTCAACAGGAACAGCAACTACATGTATACAGAAAATGAAATGTTGTTTTCTCCAGTTTCACAACAGGAAGCAGCAGGATATTCAGTACCCCCCACACTTGAGCAAACACTTACCAACTTGTTTCTTCTTGCATTCCTCCAGTGGAAAAGGCTTTCTAGAAATAGCATCTCTGACAGCCTCCCTTAGCTTCTTTTGTTCTTTACGATACTTCTTAGCAGCACTCTTCTGCTTGTACTGTTTATTCTTTAATTTATTGTCAAGTTTTATTTGACTAGTTCTCAGTAACTTGCGAAAACTTGGAACTCGCTTTGTGTTTTTTCTCTAGAAAACAAACAGAAAGCTACAAGTCACTGACATGTTAACAGTCTTTGCAAAATTTATTCCAGTGTTTAAGATCTCTGAGTTCCTATTTCTATTAGGACTGAACAATATGTTCCTTGCTAACAGTATCATGAATTATCCTCAAATTTACACAACTGTGTTACATATCTGAGAACACCGTGACAAATGTTTTACAGAAACATTCTCTGACAACTTTTTTATTAAACTCTATGTCCATCGCTTTTAAACACTCAAGGTACACAGCTTGTTAGGGCACAGCTCTTTGTGTGCTGCCAAGCACTCTGTTCTCCTCTCAGGGTGCTGCTGTTCCCCAGCACATGCTGAAGTACCTCGGGGGATTTAAACGTCCAAGGCCACACCTGGGGCAAACGCCCTTCTGCAGGACAGCTCCCCAGGCTGAGCTCTGGCTTTCTCCTGCCTGACACTCCCCCTGCCCAGCAGCCGCAGGGACCTGGCGAGGCTGCCTGCTCACAACAGCAGCGGTACCAGAGCAGAGTTACGGGGGCCAGAGCTCGGGAGGCACCGTGGCTCAGAACCGGGCTCGGGGAAAACCTGGAGGCCCGAGCCAAACCCGAAAATACTCCCAAGGGTGCTCGGGATGGGAACGGGCACGGCAGGGATCACCTCGCGAGGGGCACGGGAAGGCAAGGCCGTGCAGAGGAACTGGCACGGAAGGGCCCTAAGGGATGATGTGCCCCTTTACAGGGGGACAAGTGGCTGGATCCGTGTGCGGCTGCCCGGCCCTGAGCTCGTGGTTGGAGCACGGAGCCACCAGCACGATTGTGGGATCGCTCCCCGTACAGGCCGCTCAGGGCTGGGCTCCGCGACCCTTGCGGGCCCCTTCCAGCTGAGAACATGCCGTGAATCTGTGAAACCGGAATTTTTCTCAACTCAACCCAAGCTTATCGGGAAGGCGCTGAAAGGTCAGCGTTCTTCTCGGCGTGAGAGACGAGCCTGCGCCGCGCCGCCGGTGCCCACCCAAAGCACCCGCACCGCTCTGCCCTTCCCGGAACCCCGGCGGCACCGGCCGCTGCGACCACGGCTCCCCATCCCGCCCGTGAGCCCCGCGCTCCCCTCCCCGCCCCGCGCCCCCCGCGGCCCCTCACGGCCCCTACCGGCTTCATGGCGGCGGCCCGCGCGTGCTGCCCGGCGGAAGCGGCCCCGCGCGGCGCGGCCACAGCGGCCCCTGGCGGCGGAGGCCTCAGGCCGGCGGTGCCGCCCACAGGGAAAGAAGCACGGCCCGCAGCTGCTGTAAGTTTTATTTACACGGGAATCGGTACTAGTGGTCTTAAAGGAAGGCTTGATCCTTCTATTTACAGTTATATACAGATTTATAGTTGAAAAGTAAGAAAACTGTACAAGATAACACAAAAATATAAGACAAATTGGATCCAATTAAAGTAGTGAATACATAAGTTAAGAAAAATCGGACATTTACATTTCAAATTGTAATGTTATGAGTAGCATATATGTAGATTTTAAACCAGATAGCAACGCAAGTTACACCACACTAATCTTTACCCCGATTATGCAGACTCTGCTTTTAAAACACCAGACAACTGGAAGCCTCCTGCACTTAAAAATACATAATGGTAGTTTTTACTTGATTTCCAGAGGGACCAGTTACAAAAACCCACATGTAAGGAATTTATTTACATTAAATATTAGCAAAAAAATGGATCAAGAGAGTGCAAGTGCTCCCCACCTGCAGTGCTATCCATTTTAAATTTCTGTCCCCTACAACCACAGGTTGTTGTACAGCATCTTCAAGAACAGGAAATGTTTGAAAATATTTGCCGTGACACATACAGCATGACCTTATGTCTCACAGTTAAAAGATGTTAGAGAATTATCACTTAACAGATGCTTTTTGGATTTCAGTATTGCACACTAATAAAAAGACAGTTTCAAAAACAATTCTGTGTCTGCATTATTTCCAAGTGTTAAAAGTGGCTGCTTCTTTGAGAACACAAAAGCCTTTAGATAGCCTTGTCATTTTCTAGTGTTCACCATTACATACAAGTATTTTTTAGTTGGAAATGGCTCAACAATATAAAACTTCTGGTGGCAAAACCCTTTCACAGAATACCCACTCCATTTACTCCACAATCAATACACCAAAACAAATGCTTAAACACCACTTGCTTTGAAAGCTGTACAGTGAAAATAGCAGCCCTGTTCTTACCACTGTTTATAATTCAGATTATTGTTGCTCTATGTTTGGGCACAATATGTCTACAGTTCCTGAGTTAATTACATTTGCCCAGACTGAAGAATGAAGCTGCAACTTAAAAAAAAAAACACCAAACAAGTAAATAAGAAAATACCCCTTCCCAAATCTTAACCACCTTGCACATAAACATACCAAACCACTTTATTTGGTCCTCAATACTTGCAAATTGTTAATTTTGGAGGTAATGTTTGTACCAAAGCATTTGGTTTGGATAGCAGTTTTGGGGCCTTAAGATTTAGCATTTCCCTCATCCCCTCCAAAAAGTGCCTTTGTGGTATTTTTAAAAACAGTTATGCCTCAAAAATTTGTTTAAAGTACCAACAGAAGTTATTACAAATGTTTATTGCATTGAGCTGATTCTTTTAAAGTATTAAATATGAACTCCCCGCTTCTCAGTTTCATAGGTTTTAGTATCCTGTGTGAAATCAGATCTTCCCATGGCAAAAACTAATACTGGCAAAAGGGTGAAGATTTCATCAGTTCATTACTCCACTGAGAGCTGTGTCTTTTCTCCATCTCATTTTCACATTTTCTATAGTGCTTTTTCTACATAGAAGTGATGTGAAGACTTCTCTGTCATCAAGTGGTTTTCCACGTTTCCAATGGACCTCACTCAACATTAGCTTTTCGGCGCTGGGCTGTGGTTCTTGTCCCCTTCTTTGTTGTCCTTCATCAGTGAGGCAAACACCTGGAAAAGTAAATCATTTAATAAAGACTGCCAGTGTTATAATAATATCAATATTAATTGCCACAATATTAGCATGGAGATAAATTTCTAGAATGAGACACTAGAAAGGAAGTGCCCATTGCTCAGAGGAGTCAGACAAGCAGCTTAAATAACCATGAAGAGAAGTTCCCCATATATTCATGTGCTGACATGTCAGATTTGATATATATTTCCAAGAAACTCACCTGTGCCCATTTTTTGTTACTATTCTGCATCTGAATAGCTGCAATACAACTAAAAAGCTTTTCTGATGTAATATCTTCTGGAAGTTTTGTTAGAAACTGTGCTATATGAATAAAGTCCATCTGTAGGAGAATATCTTCATATAACCGAAGGATTCCTAATCCTGTCCTAAACAAGAATTCTTCTCCATCTCTACAGAAAACATCCCAGACACGACAGGCCAGATCAAGTGGCAATGACTTGCTGTAGAGTGTAAAAATCCTACAAATGAGTCAAAAACAAACAAAAAGAAAGAGTTATAACTTGTTTCAGAAAAATGAAAAGACAACTTCCTTTAAACCTCAGTTACATTAGTTCAGAGTAAGCAGATGACGAGTTATTTTTACACAATTTTTTTTGCCTATTTCAATGATCCACAAGTCTCCAGTTCTTGAAGTCAGAACTTGTACTCTGAAACCCATCTCTTTTGATGCCACAGGAAATCCTCCATTTGAATGCCATCTCCTTTAGAAAGCTCTGGCTAGAAAAGTGACAAAGCTCTTCATACTCAAGAGTGTGATACACACATAAGAACTTAAGCAACAAAGATCACAGCTGTGTGACTCAACCTTTCCCATTTAAGCCATACAGTTTAACAGCTCTGTTCATCATTTGTTTCCTAAACTAAATCTAAAGCCACAACTAATCTCAATAGAGGGCTACATCCCATTAATATACTAATGATAAATCAACAGCTACACTTCTGTGATACATTTCTGAATTTTTCATGTTAAAAGGAAAAAAACTAACAATATTCCTAGATGAAGCTCATCCTTATGCACACAAACAGATATTCTGTTTTTGACAGCACTACCACACTTCAAGGGTGCCTGCACTACTGCCTTCCATTACAGACACACAGAGCTTGCTACTCTCTGCTTTAGAACATTCCTTACTATTCCTTACTAAATTGTTCACTGCATTTTCAAGTTTATCCCTTTTCAAATCAGGTCTTAAATTTCGTCCTCCCTCTGCTTTAAGATCTCTAATCCTATAGTCATGCTGCCTTCAGTAGATGATTATGCTCAATTCATCAAGTCACTTACAATAGTACACCATACTGCTATGGTGTAGTAGCCTCCTCTCCCCTACTTATGTCATGTAACTGCAGCAAGAAAAAAAATGAACACACAGAACACTCCTGTTGGTCTCATTTTTTAACTGAATACATCCCTTTTAATAAAGCCTGAAGCTTGCCAGAGGAACTGCAGTTACACATAACAGTTCATCATGATTTCACAAGACCTACTGAATGTCTTTTTTATGCTTTATTTCCAGTGTTGAAAGACCTATAGCAAAGTAGAAAGTGTTCCAACAGTGCTAAGGTTAGGTTTGCTATGTTCTATGAACTCACCAGTCTATCAAATATATGTCTGGAGTAAGACTGTATGATTTGAAATGAAGAAACAATTTAGGAAGATTTTCTTCAAAAAATACTTCAAAGGCTGCAAAGTATTTCAGCATCTGTAGGAATAGTAAAGCACATCATAAGCAGTCATCAAAAGAATGTTTGGTTGTAAACCAACACAAACCCCACCAAGAACTGATGTCAAGACAGCACAATGTGACTCCTTAGGCTAAGTAAAATGATTAAATGTTTCTAGAGGAGAAATCAAAACATGAGAATGAGTTCTATGGATTAGCACCTGGTATTCTCAGTTTTGTAATCACAGGTTAAAGTTCTCCATTATTCAATAGGACAAAAGGAAGTCATCAATAAAACAACTATGCTTCAAGTAAAAGAATGTTAATGTCCAAAACCAGAAAACTCTGTGCATACCATGCTGTGATCCACACGGAAAAAGGCCAGCTGGCATGGCTTGTTTAGAAGGTTAGCAAAGGCAATGAAAGCATCTGCCTCTTCCAGATTGAGAATGAGCACAGCAGCAATGAAGGACATCCCTTGTACCTTCAAGTGGGAAAAGCATCGGGCAAATAAAGGTGAGTGGGTTCAGTAGATCTTACATCTTTGGAAATGGAAATATTTACAGTTTGCAATTTATCAAGTACTATTGCATAACATTTCCAGATGAATAGAAACAACGTGGATAAATTATTTTTATGCATGCAATCAATTTGATTCCAGCAGTTCAGACACTCTGGGAGGTCTCAGGATCACAAGTCCTCAGGACTTGAAATACAAGAAAGTTAAAACCACACAGAGTGAATGCAGAGCTCATGAGAAACAAAACCTGGCCTCAAGTTCATTGTTAAACTATGGGAAAAGCAGTCATGGAGAAAAACTTCACATATGGGACAGTTTAGACCCAGACAGATACATTGGAACTGAGACAAAATTCTGTTTCAGAACAGTCAATACATGTCTTTCCACTTGCCAAACCATAATTTTTCACATATATAGAATTACTTCTAGGTGGTTAGCTGCAGTGTAAGTTTACATTTTTCCACCATTACTATCCCAAAAACACTTCAGCCTGCAATTAAAGAGCATGATTCTTGTATTTAAGTGATGATCTGAATACTCATTATGATAACAATAATTCTACCAATTTCAATTGCAATCATCTTTATTCCACTCTCTCTAAACATTTATGCTGCCTGTTCCCATTTAAAAAAACCCTCGCAGTCAGCATTTTAACCAACTAGGGAAAAGAGTATTGATATGCATCAGAAACAGTTGATCAGCTTTCCATTTCAAGGGGATAAATAGGTGTGGAAATAAGATTACATTACATTTACTACCACATTAACATTAAAAGAACGTGATAAGAAATATGAAAACTAGCTATATTTCTAATGGAAAAGAGAAGACTTATCCATGAAAAATTACTTATTTGCCTTTTGAAACTCCACCCTGGGAACAAGCAGTCTCAGAACCTGCAGAGTTTGTAATCTCACTTAAAAAATATGGGAGAGACTCCAAAAATGAGGTCACAAGATGACAGAATTCAGGCCTAAAAACATTTGAACATGAAAAACCGACTAGTTATTTATGCAGAGTCCCAAGCATATCTGATTT